TTTTTTCGATATACAAATCCTGTGATTTACTGTGAAATAATATATTATTATTATTTTATAAAATATCACGTGCAACTAAGTATTTAAATATAAAATACAAATACTAACTTCATTTTATTGGACAGTAAATTTAATTAAAAAAAATAAAAATGACAATATAAAAACTAGACATTGCACGCGATAAATTATAAGAAATTATTCGATATTATTATAGAAAATATATTATTTATATTAATATAATACAAATACATTATAAAAACTAAAAGCACGTGAAATACTCTACATAGCAGAAGATATTTCTATAAAATATATATTTTAAATATGAACAAATAGCATACCTGAAGTAATGATAAATACTACTTCCTTCCTTACATAAATATAGTTTTAATTGAGTTGGGTACGAGATTTAAGGAATATTAATATTATATTGGTAGTCAGTAAAAAAGTATGAATAAAAGACTTTTTTGCCCTTGTAAGTGTATTAGTGTAATAAAAAAAAAAATAGAAGTAGTTTTATGGTGATATGGTTATTTATGAAAATAAGACTATTGATCTGAGATGAAGTAAATAAGAGTATTGTATTAGAACGGAGGAGTATCTAATTTTTTAATATGTTCTTTTTTGAAAAATCAGGTGCTTATTTTCCTAAATCAGCAATGTAACCTAACTAAAAAAATTATTACAAATAATTTAGGCTATGGTAATTTAAATACATATTTAATAAATTTTGATATTCTCTCCGTCTTAATTCAATATATGTTTTTTTTTTATTATTGTAAAATATTCTTCAGTTACGGGATTAAAATAATAAAAAATTTTAGTTATGAGACCAAAAAAAAATATATTATATATAACAAAAAATAAAACAAAATTTTAGACAAAATCAGAAAGGTATACGGCCGTATAGAATTAAACATGGCCATATAATAACATGACTATGTATAATTTTACACAGCCGTATGAGAACATATCTGTGTATAATTGGACATAGCAGTGTAGTTTCTAGGTCAACTGTCACGTCAACCCAGTTTCGTCCACGACAGCAATTTTCATCAGTTTTGAAACGGTGAACCAAAATTGATTAAAATTGTTTATAATGAGACCAAAATTGATGAATTTTTTTATATTGAGACCAAAATTGATAAGTTTTTTATATTGAGGCCAAAATTGATAAATTTTAATTATACTGGAACCAAAATTGATTTTTTTTTTTCTATTATTATACTCTCTCGTCCCACTTAATTTGGCAACTTTAGCTTAGGTACAGAGTTTTAGGTATTGAGTAATTAGTAAGTAATTAAAAAGTATATTAGTAAAATAATTATAATTTAATAAAAAATTATAAATTAAAATTAAGATAACTAAATAATTTAATTAAAAAAATTATAAATTATGAATTGTAAAATGTGATTAAAATGTATAGTTATAATTTTAAAAAATAAAATGATAAATTACGTGGAACAGACGGATATAGAAATATTAAACAAATTAAGTGAAACGAAATTAGTACTCCCTCCGTCCCATATCTATATATCAATTTGCTTTTTGCACGGAGTTTTAGAAATATTAGTATTATAAAGTATATATAAAAGTAAAAAGATTAAATTAACCCTATTAATATTGTATGATATAAAGGTAATGACATTTATCTAATATATTGTAAATTTGAAGGGTATTTGTAATGTTAGGTAGATAGTACAATTACTTGAAAAAAGAAGAAGTAATTGATACTCTATTATAGGACGGACCAAAATAAAAAAATAAATAGACTATTAAGGAACAGACGGAGTATTATTTTTTTAATTTAGTACAAAATTCAAAAATCATTGTCAGACGAAACGGGGATTATATAATAACGGATAAAGTGAATATTATTATTATTATTATTATATATTTTTAAAATAGTACAATTTTTTTATTATATATTTTTTTAAAAGTACATTGATTAAATTATTCGTATATCATGACAAAAAGGAGACAACCAACCACTTTTTGTCCAGATTTTGGCAGTTCATTCATTACACCAAAGTGGCCTTCACGAATTTGCAATATTCTACATCCAAATAAAAAAAATCTATTTTATTAATTGATATTATTATTATTATTATTATTATTTTATTTTACTTGTAATCATTATATTTATATATATATATTTTTATAATTAGATTCTATCCAGCTTCAATAAATTAAACCAAATTTATTAAAATTCATAAATTAAATAATACTCACACTACAACAACTTATCCCAATGATTATGCAACAATTGAAAAACAATTAAAAAGAATATAAACATAATCGAACCTTGACCATTTTGTTACTAAATTTTATATATTAAATAAACTCACATCTGTCATTCTATTTAATAAAATGATAATAAGAATAATGATTTCTTTTGTCACTGTCACATATTCGATTGCATAGTTTTATTTAATTTTTTATATAAATAGTTTATATATATATTTATTTAAATAATGACTGAGATTCCTAAGTCAAAGGATCATTCCTCACCAAAAATAATTAAATTATTGGCCAAAAATCTTCCAATGACTAAAATAAATAAATAAATTTTCAATGGATAAGATAGTTTGTAACACCAAGACAACATTCAAACGCGTAGTTCAATTTTCTACGTATGCATTTTACTTTATACAATAATTTTCTTAATTTTTATTATTTTTTTTTATACTAAAAATTTAAAAAAAAAAATTATTTTATAGTGTATAATAATTTGCCTAGAATGTAAATGTACGACTCTGTTTATCTAGTTCGATTGTAAGAAACTACTCTAAGGATACCAATCCAGGCTAGACAGCTCAGCATATGTTATAAGAGTGACCACGATATGTTATACATATTTCAGCATATGTTATATTATAAGATAGCATATGATGAGTTATAATATAATATTCACTTTGTCTATTTCTAAGAGTCGCATATACTTTTTGTATAATTTTACTTAACATTAAAAATATCTTTATATTTGTATAAATTTTTTGTACAAACGTCATTCCATTAGTATTATAAGACACTAGTTGAAATATTTTTATAATTTCTACTAATTTGTATTACATTTTGATATAATAATTAATATTCAAATATCAACACACAAAAAGTAAATGAGGTAGTATATATTGTATTATAAATATATTGAGATATATATAAGTATATTATGTTCATCCATATAGTATATGTTGACTTGGTCAAATCAAAACCATATTAACTTGATCAGATAAATTTTACCCCTAAAAATGACAAGTTACTAAATAATAATGATATTTTTATAATACTTCATCCGACAACTCACAATATATGTATATGTATTTATTTTGAATTGTCAAATTACAAAATAATTATTTTAAAAATATTTCATTTTTTTTCTATAAAAATATATATTTTACCATTATATATTATTTCCTTTACACAAAAAAATAATGACAACATTGTCTTTATACTTCCCTTGTTCCAAAAGAGTTGTTTTATTTTTCCATTTTCATCTATAAAAAATAATTGTCTTATTTCCTTATTTAATAACCGTGCTTCTCAATTTACAACAAAATTATTCTTACTTTTCTGCAACTGCCCTCTAATTATTATTTTAACCTACTTTTTAAAACCTTTCAAAAAGTAAGAGTAATTTAGCCTTTTACGTTATACTTTATACTCACACATTAAATACTATTATTCTTTAATTTTAGTGCCGACTCCCAACAAGACATCTTTTATAGGTCGGATGGAGTATTACTTTTAACTATTTACTAGAATTAAAATAACCCCGTTATCCCATAAAAAGAATATTATTTTTTATTTTCCTTTGTCCTAAAACAGGAATTATGTTTAATAGTTTAGTAATTGTATTACTTACTTAACATAATAAATATTTATATAATTCACAATATAATATTACACAAATATCATTATTTTTATATTATACAATACTAATATGATATTTTTGTCTATTATACTACCAACTAATATTATAATATAAATATTAAAAAATCTACATAAAGAAAGCAAATAATACTCTTATTCTGGAGTAGGGGAAAATACTATTATTTTTTAAACTCAGCCTTATAAAGTAAATACCATACTTTCAAATTGGAAGAAAATAATAATGCCTAAATTACAAGAATTATTTTTTTTTTAAAAGATTAGTGAGCAAGTATAACTAAAAAAAACTAAGTTAAAACAAATTAAAATAAAAAATAAATACATTTAATTCCGTACATAAATGTATATATATTGTCACTTCATACTAAATAATTATACTGTTGGAAAATGTATATATCATCGAGATCTATAGTAAAATTTCAGGTAGGTTAGCAGCAAGGTGAATTGATAAGTACCATTCCTTATGAAATTTATTACACAGTTTCTGGAACCTGACTCTGTCTGTGTCTGTGTCTTGTCTGAGTGCACTGTGTAATACTAATCATCAAAACCACAACAATAAATAGCCAATACAAAAAATAAAAATAAAAAAATTATGTCGTTTAAATTTATTTTTATTTTTATTATCATTTAAATTTACTTTTACTTTTTTTAATAAAAAAATATACTGCCTCAGTTCAATTAAAAATTATATATATTTTTATTTTGAAATATTCAATTATAAAATAAATATTTTATTATTTTTTTATAAATATTTTTATTTTATATCACATCTTTACTATCCTGTTACCCTCAAAAAAAACATTAACAGATCAAAGTAATAATTAAAAAATCGAAACAATAAATAGCCAATACGCCCCCGTAGGAAACCCCCACCCACCTGCACGTGCCAATCACATCACCTAAAACGTTCGTAGCTATAGCGACAGATCCCGCACTTTTCAAAACACCACCACGTTACGACGTCGTCTGGTGCTGATTTTACTTTTATGCCCTTCTCTTCCCACACGTGTATATATGTTTTTACATTATATATTTTTATTTTTATTTTTATTTTATATATATATACATGGAAGAGTTATATAGCCGAAGAAATTCTGAAGCGCCAACTACTCTGCGTAGGCTCGACTGGGCAGATCAGTGCGCGTTGAAATTGTGTGGCGGATGCAGAGATGTGTTCGGTTGAGAGGTGCCTCTTTTGATATGCAGGGACGAGGCGTGTGACGACGATCCTGTAGAGCGTTGATTTGCATTGCAATTTTGGTTTTTTGGTTTTTTTTGTTTTGTCTTTGGTTTAATTTTTTGAATTTATCGCGATTGATTGGGAGGAAGTTGTTTTTTGGTTTGGAGGTTGTTAATTGTTCGGCGATTGTGATGAGGTCGTCGTCGTTCGGTAGCGGTTCGTCGAGGAACAGCCTCCGTTCGATGGAATTGCAGGAGGAGTCGCCGAGGTATGGAGGAGTTGGAATTGGAGGTGCAATGCTTCCGGTTTACCTTAATGATTTGAGGAGGAATATTAATGGCGGTGGAGAAGAGATGGTGGAAGTCACTCTCGAGCTCGACGAGGATGATTCCGTCGTCCTGTGCAGCGTCGCTCCGGCGAACGGTGCGCAGAATAACGCGACAGAAGAAGAAGCGACGAATAGTTTCCTTGCTCGGAGCGCGTCGGCGGCGTCGAGGCTACGGAGGATGTTCTCGTGGCGGCGGACTCCGTCGGAGAGGACGTCGACGTCGGACGCGGAGGAGCAGCACCAGGCGGCGGTGGTTTCCGCACGTGAGATGATGAAGATGAAGGCGAAGATGATGAGAACCAAATCGAGCGCGCAGAGAGCGCTCGGCGGGCTGCGATTCATCAGCCGAAGCACCGGCGGAGATTCGGAGCCCGACCCGAACCTGCTCTGGAAACAAGTCGAAGCTCGGTTCGACGTCCTCTCCAAAGATGGCTTGCTTTCCAAGCAAGACTTCGGCGAATGCATAGGTACAAAAAGAAACAAATCACCAAACCAAAAAATCACACACGCACATCCTTTCCCTTTCACCAACATTTCTCCAATTCATCATCCGTAAAACGACAGTAAACGGTGAATGTTTTCTTCAATTCGATTCACATATCAATTTTACTCAAACATTAATTTCCGCTTTGATTTCAGGAATGGGAGATTCCAAGGAGTTTGCGGTGGGCGTTTTCAACGCTCTGGCGCGGCGGCGGAGGCAGAAATCAACCAAAATTACCAAGGCGGAGCTGCGTGATTTTTGGCTTCAAATATCCGATAACAGTTTCGACGCTCGTCTCCAAATTTTCTTCGACATGTTAGCATCAGAAACTCTCTTTTTTTCTGTTATGCATAGGGCTTCGTTACAAAGGAATATTTACTTGGTCGGTCCCGGGACCAACGTCTAGAGAGGCAATCGACACCATTAATTTGGATCCCCACAAGCATTCAATAGTGCGGAATGTCTCAATTCCCTGGTCCCGGACTGGCCAGCAAGTATACGTATTTTGGTTAAATTTACTTTTAACCCCTAAGCTTTTGAATTATTCATCCTGCCGCCACTTTTAGTCTAAAGGTTAATTCCATCATTTTCATCGGTATTAAATGTGCACGAAATCACTGCCCAATGTTAGTGTATAGTGCGAACTTTGTTGCCAATTCGATTCTTTTATCTACTTTGCAATTTTAGGGAAAAGTTATATACTGTTCTCCCTTACTTGGATAAAGATGAGTTTAATTTGTGAATACTGAAATCATATATAGTCACCATACCCAAATGGAAGCAGAAGTTGCTTTTATCTTTATTTAATTCCTATTTACAAACCCTAGCTAAAGTGGGTTCCATTTCATAATTTATGAGATATTTTTGTTAATTATGAATTAATTGTCTAATTTTGCAGGGCGGATGTTAATGGAGATGGGAAAATTACAAGAGATGAAGTACAAGAGGTAACGCTATCCTTGGTGACCATTTCCTAGAGATGAAAAGAAATTAGGTTAAACAAGATTCTATCGAATCAACTTGTTGGTACAATTATTATAGGGTTTTTGTTTTTGTAGGAAATAGAAATAGTAGAAAATTTTGGAAATTTTAAAAACACCCTGAAATTATTGGGCCGAAATTTAATATTTTATTTTCAATGGAGTAGTTTTATTTATTTATTTTCATTAATCATCATGTTACCTTGCTTGCATAAATTTTATAGGGCGGGATACAAAAATGACCATTACGTCGTTAATCAACACGTATTGATTAAATCATGTCTTTTATCTTTCTTACCTAATTAGAATTAGACAAAGGGCATCGCCCTTTGCACTTCTGTTTATGCTTTTACTGCTTTCTTCAGTATCAAGCAATATATTTGATACGAAATAAAATAATAATAAATTTTTTAGATGTTTTTATTTTAAATAAAATATTTAGTAGTATATTTTTTAGGATAAAACAATTTGGACGGTCACTGTAACCAGTACAATTATTTAGTTGTTTTTTAGCAAGACTTTGGAAGGAACATGACACAAAACGACGTGCCTTTGTTTCTCTTTTCTCAGGATTCTCTAATGTAGTTTGCAATGTTTTGACCTCAACAGCTAATAATGCTGAGTGCTTCTGCTAATAAGCTGTCCAATTTGAAAGAACGTGCCACGGATTATGCCAATTTAATAATGGAAGAGCTTGACCCTGACCACCTCGGCTACATTGAGGTACCAATCATTACATGCCAATTTACTCTTATTTCTGTTCCCTGCTACTGCTAGAATTCCTGGTAAGAAATTAATATTTGAAAATTGTATAATAATATCGTACCGAAATTTCAATATAATAACTTTGGCATATATATATATATGTATATATATGATACCCTTCTATAATTGTTGGACAGCCAATTCTCAGCATTAGGGAAATATGAACCCAATCAAGAAAACAGTCTGTTCCTTGAAATAAACTTCTTGATGCTAGAAATAATTAATTGTTGGAATGTTTGGAAGGGAAATTGATTTTTAATATAATATATAAAAACATTTAATTTGGGTTTTTTTTGGAAAGATGTAAAAAACAAAGAGTAGAAATCTTCGAAATCCTCTAACAAAGATGCAACTAAACTGTCCCTGAATTGTAGCTATGGCAGTTGGAAGCACTTCTTCTGCAGAGGGACAATTACATGAACTACAGCAGACCTCTAAGCGCAGTAAGTGTAGGATGGAGCCAGAATTTGAGCACCATTTTGGTGAACAAAGTAGGGTCCTTCCTGTTCGACAATTGGCAGAGAGGCTGGATACTGCTGACATGGTTTCTAGCCATGGCTGCCCTTTTCACCTGGAAGTTCCTCCAGTACAGGAATCTCCCGGCATTCCACGTCATGGGTTACTGCTTAACAACAGCCAAAGGTGCCGCCGAGACTCTCAAACTCAACATGGCCTTAATTCTCCTCCCTGTCTGCCGCAACATCCTGACGCTGCTGAGATCCACAAGAGCCAGGCTACTCATCCCTTTCGACGACAACATTAACTTCCACAAGGTAAGAATACATTTGAGGGATGAATTTTATTTCCATGTCATTACTTGCTTGATCTGATTCAATTCGATTCGATTCATTTCATTTCGATCACGTATTGTAGAGAAAAGAGTTCCATTTCCATGTCATTAGTTGCTTGAGCTGATTCGATTCGATTCAATTTGATCCCATGTTGTAGAGGAAGAATTCCATTTCCATGTCATTAGTTGCTTGAGCTAATTCGATTCGATTCAATTTGATAGGTATAGGAAAGAATTTCATTTCCATGTCATTAGTTGCTTGAGCTAATTCAATTCGATCGGTATAGGAAAGAATTTCATTTCCATGTCATTAGTTGTTTGATCTGATTCGATTCGATTCAATTCGATTCTGTCTTGCAGGTTATTGCCTGTGCTATTGCCGTTGGAGTAGTGATCCATTCTGGGAGCCATTTAGCGTGCGACTTCCCGCGCGTGGTGCAATCATCGCCAGATAATTTCAAACTAATTGCTTCTGACTTCAACAACAAACAACCGACGTATACCAGCCTCTTAAACAGCGTCGTCACCACCACCGGGATCGCCATTGTCGTGCTGATGATGATCGCCTTCACTCTCGCGACCCGAAGCTTCCGTAAAAATGGAGTGAAGCTGCCGCCGCCGTTGAACAGACTCACCGGCTTCAATGCATTCTGGTACTCCCATCACCTCCTTGCCCTCGCCTACATTTTGCTCGTCGTCCATGGCACGTTCTTGCTCCTTGTTCACCAATGGTACAAGAAAACGGTACGTCGATAACTCGCTCCCGACTAAAAATGTCAAATTTTAGCCAATACTAACAACCTGTTCTTGGCTATGGCAGACATGGATGTACATTTCAGCTCCTCTGCTTCTCTATGTAGCAGAAAGATGTCTAAGAACTCGAAGGTCAGAACATTATGCAGTTAAGATATTGAAGGTAAAACAGTAACCTCAAATTCACCGTACAGATGAAAAATTGATAACTTTTAACTGCAGCCATAGCCGAAATAGCTTCACAAAGTGTGTAATTTTCGTCGATTTTCGCAGGTTGCCGTGCTCCCGGGAGGCGTCTTCAGCCTGGTAATGGCGAAGCCGAATGGATTCAAGTATAAAAGCGGGCAGTACGTCTTTCTGCAATGTCCCGCGATCTCCTCATTCGAATGGTGAGCGCAAACATCGACAGATTCTCGATTCACATTTTCGCGCGCTAATCCAACAGCATGTTTTCGCCAGGCATCCGTTCTCGCTCACTTCCGCGCCGGGTGATGATTATCTGAGCGTTCATATCCGCACGGTCGGGGATTGGACGCAAGAACTCAAGCGAGTATTCACCGAAGACAATAGCTCGACTTGCGTTATCGGACGAGCTAAATTCGGCGCGCTCGGAAATGTTCAACAAACTGGGTATACATACATACATACATATATATAATATATATAGATCGTCGTTTTACATTCGTCGAAACTTTCACGTTTCCTAAGCCTTTACCAATCTTGCAGCCTGCCTAAACTGCTCGTCGACGGACCGTACGGAGCGCCGGCGCAAGACTACCAAAACTACGACGTATTACTCCTCGTAGGGCTCGGGATTGGGGCGACGCCTTTCATAAGCATCCTTAAAGATCTGCTAAACAATACAAAACCAGACGACCAAATGGTATGTTTGTAATTTATATACAGTTTTAAATCAGTTTTGTGATTTAACGGTGTAGCTGTTGCGATACCTTAGGACTTGAACACCGAAACGAGCCACTCCGACGACAGCTCGAACAGCGTTAGCTCTTCGTGGGAGACGCTGAGCGGGAAGAAGAAGTCGCAAAAGATAAGAAACGCGCATTTCTATTGGGTGACGAGGGAGCCGGGATCGTTCGAATGGTTCAAAGGCGTGATGAACGAAACCGCCGAAATGGATCACAAGGTACACACTTACTACATTACTTACTTACCTACATTACTTATTACTCGAAAGTTCGAAACATTCAATTTCGCGCGCGCGATTTTAAAACCGAATAGGGCCAAATCGAGATGCACAATTATCTAACGAGCGTTTACGAAGAGGGCGACGCAAGATCAACTCTCATCACGATGGTTCAAGCGCTAAACCACGCTAAGCACGGCGTCGACATCCTATCCGGCACCCGAGTAAGTAATATTCCCTCCAACCAAACAAATATACATTCTACTACAAATACTTTACGACATTTTTGCATTCTTTGGCGCATTTATTAGGTTCGGACACACTTCGCGCGGCCAGATTGGCGCGAAGTGTTCAACAAAGTAGCTGCAAAGCACCCGTGCTCGACAGTAGGTAAAATAAAATTAAAAAAGAAAAAAGAAAAAGTGTATAGAAACGATCGAATCCCCAAAACCTTCGTCGAGACTCCTAACGTAACTTTGTTTTTCTTTTTGACACGATGTTTAAGGTGTTTTTTACTGCGGAATGCCAAACTTAGCGAAGGAGCTTAAGAAGCTCTCGCAAGAACTTACTTACAAGACGTCGACAAGATTCGAGTTTCATAAGGAATACTTTTGAATCGGAGAAATCGATCGATTCGGCTACGACTACATGTACAAGAGGAAATATACACACATATATATATGTATGCATTTTTAGGATGTAGCATCGTTTCTTCCTTGAAGAAGATGTAAGTATACAAAAAAATATATATATATACACACACGTATAGTATATATATAGGTGTGTTATGGAATGTAGATTTGCTTGGAAAATACAGCAGCAGGGGAAGGAGATGGAGGGTGTGATTTAGTAACAAGAACAAGAACAGAAAACAATGAGAAAACAGGTACATTCATTTGTTCATTTTATTTGATTCTTGTTAACTTAATTAATTTCATACCAATAAATGTTGAGCCCTAGTATGTTCTCTTGGAGTTTTGCTTTATTTTTATTATTTTGGCTTTCGGTTTGGATATAAATGTTTTTGTGAAAAAAACATATATTTCTATTTTTATATATAGAATTAAATCAAACCTATGAAAACGTGCTTAGGAAAGTTCTATTTTGAAACAAGGTTAATAAATGTTGTTTTATATGTTTGCTGTGTTCTCCCGCACCATTTTTAAATTGCGATATATAATAATAACAAAAACAAAATATTTTATACAAAAATTAATTTATACAAACAAATACTCCCTGCTCTCTAAGAGTCATATTTATATTTTACGTCATTATATAATTTTTTTTACAAATGTCTTTTTAATTAAAATATTTTTATAATTTTTTCTTAATTTGAAATGCGTTTTAATATAATAATTAATATTCAAAAAACAACATGCAAAAATATGAATATAATACTTAAATTTCAATTTAAATTTTTACTATTTCAAATTCCAATCCTAAACCATCGAATTAGTTTCACACTATTCTCCATTTTTTTCGACAAAAAAAAATATCAAATTAAATATTTTTTATTATTATTATTTAAAGCATTACGTCTACCATATCCAAAGACTCAAATCTAAATCAAACCACCCCATCCTTTTATTCCATAAAATCAATACCTAGAGACCTTACAATTTATTTTTAAAATCTCCATACATACTTTATTTCATGATATTTCGATAAATAGAAATAAATCGAACAATGCATACATTCATATATAGTTCATTAATCATCCCCCCGTGGATTTATTTTACTCGTCGCCTTCATCTTGGCAATAGTCTCGGGCATTATAAGGGCTAAAGGCCTCGGCAACCCACATTTTTTTCCTCCACGACGCCCACCCCATTTCCTCGCAAATTTCGTCGCTATGATTGATGCTAAAAGTGGAAATGCAACTCCTCTTGTAGAATCTTGTCGTCTTCTTCATGATTTCCATTTCTTGCCCTATTTGGTCGAGCATTTTCTCCACGCTCGGAAGCTTGAAGCGACCCTCCACTAGCCGGGACAACCATTTGCACCGTATCTCGGCTGTGTGGAGGTTCGACACGCTCTCGATGTAGCCCACAAACGCCATGTTTGGAATGAACGGATTGATTGTACCCCTACATATGTTCGAAATTTTAGAATGTAAGATGATCTTATGTCGTAATATGTAAGAGCTTTTAGGTGATATTATCATTTAATATTGTATCATAATTTTTTGTAAGAATATATTGTTTCTTCCTTCAAAGCATTACATTCAAATTATGGCCCATGTTAGTATATACATACGTATACATAAATTTTGCTAAGAATTTAGATAGATTAAATTTTTATTCGACTAGTATATTATGTTACTACATCTACATAAATTTTCCACTAATATGTATGGCTTCTTATTTGGGAATTTTGGATAATATTAAAATGTTGAAGCTTTTATATAATATTTTGTAAAAAAGAATGAGCATTTGATGCAATATTTTAAAAAAAAAATGGTCGCAGATAAACATCGAGGTAATTTTTAAGTGTATGTAAATAGAATTATAATGAATAATCAATAGAATTATTTGTTTGAAGGATTTTGCTAGATTTTCACTATTTATAAAAAAAAATTATTCAAAAATATCAAATCAAATACATATTTTTAATTTTTTATATTATATTAAAAATCAACTTTATATTCAAAATATCACATAAATACTTATTTATATCACATCGTACTACTATTTCAATTTAATTTTTTTACTAATTAAATATTAATCCAAAATCCAAACCCCCGAACAAAGACACTTACTTTACTTGATTGTTTTGTTTGAATAATAGGTTATATATGTAATGTTTTATGAGATTAAAGATAACATATTTTTATAAAATTATAAAGACTGCATAGTAAAAAATAAAATAAAATAAAAAAATCGACAAATAAGTAGATCGAATCTACAATTTCAAAATATTTGGTGTCAAATAACACGACTTGTATCATTATTATTTTGTAACAATATATACCTGTATAAGGGCATCATACCAGAAGGAAATTCGAGTAGACTTCGAAAGGGGTCCGGAATGATTGACCGGAGCTTATGTTTTCCATCAAAACCGGTGGCAAAAATTACGACGTCGGCGTCCAATTTGGACCCGTCGTCGAACTCAACCCCTCCCTCCCAAAACCACCAATTTGAAGCTCTCTTGAAGGCAATTTTCCCCTTATCGACTTCCCGGAAAAAATTCTCCGGCAATATTGCCATTTGGCACGATGCATAGTCTTCTTCAAACGGGTGGTCGGGTTTTAGTCCGTACTTTTTTAATGGAAGCTTCCATGTTAAGTACGACTCTATCATCTTCGATGTTGCTTTTCTCTGTATCATTGAATCATAATTGTATTACGAAATATTTATCAGTAAGAAAGATGAATTTTTTTTTTAAAATCAATTTCTAAGTTTGATTTTTTTTTTATAAAAAAAAGACTTAAATAGTGTGTTGAATATAATATATTATGCGATGAAAAATAAAATTCATCTACGGGAAATTGAGGCCGTTCTATATAAAAAATAGAAATTAAAAATAATAATATTTTATTGATTAGTGGAGATGTGTAAATAGTTTTGTCATTTTTACTTTTTGTACTTTATGTTTAAACTAATTGTACATAAAAGTTAAAAAAGTAATTTTGATATTATTGTATGATTATTTTTACTATAATAAAAAATAAATATCTTTGAGTGAAACGGATAAATATAATAATAATAATAATACTTTTAATTGAGATGGAATGAGTATAAAACTTCTTTTGCAAAAATTTTAATTGATATGTTCGAAACGAAAAATAAAAAATGATGTACAAGGTTCAGTACTCTTTAAATTTTTTCACACGATTTCTTCGATATTTTCTTGATTTTATATAATTACTATTTAAACTTAAACTCATAATTAAAATAAACGCGCCCAAAATATTTTAAATATAAATTATATAGCGCGGAAATAAAATTGAAAACTAACCATTGGGGTGAGGATGTGGCAAAGTAGAGTTCTTATTAAACCTTGGTTAGGTCTTCGATGAAGAAATTGTGAAAGCCTTGTCGAGTAAAATAGGTAAAATGGCAAACCCCATATCGAGTAATGTGGAACTGTCCAATGCAATGTTCTTACAACCATTGTACATCTTTCCCCTTTTTCGCCTGACATCCAAAACCCGAACATTCGATAATTTACAATTTTAAAATAATTCGTAAAGAAGTACAAAATAAAAATAAAAATTGAACATAAATATATTAGTGATCAAGATTTTATCTTCTTTTATTTGTTTCAATAATCGTTTAATGTAATATTTTGTAAGATAAAATAAACTATTTTTACAAGAAATAACAAAATAAAAAAGTTGTAAAAAAAAAAAAACACACACACACACACAAATAGTCATAAAATTCTACTATTACAACAATACCCTTATTGCATCCTCCCGTTAATAATAAAAAGAGAAGTTTATTACTCTTTTCGTTCTACTTAAATGCATATATTTTACTATTTTTATTTGTCGCATAATAATTTATATATATTTTTATTAATATAAAAATAGTTTAAATATTAATATCAAAATACTCTAAATTTTTACATAAATTACAAATATACTATTACGTACAAAAGAGAAATTTGTTAAAACATATTTACACATTCTATTTACCAATAAAATATTATTATTCTTTAATATAATATAAACTAAAATAATTGCATACTATCGGCTGGAACAGAAGAAATATCTAAGAAATCCCTCTACGAGACCAAAATTTTAGAATGTATTTGATTTTATGTTTTTTATGTTAAATTTTAAATTAAAGAGTACGATTTATTATCTTTTAAAATATATATAATTATAGAAAATCTAAAGATTGTATAGAAAAAAGAAAAAAAAATTAAAAGAGAACAGAGACCATCTATTACTCCCCCAGTCTCAAACATCGTCAAACATTTGACTTTGGCACAAAAAATTATATAGGTAGTATTAAATACGATAATTTAGAAATTAGATGATATAATAGACAGAAGTTTATATATATATATATATATATTTGAGTGATGTAATGAGATAAAATGGAAAGTAGAGATTAGTATATTAATTGCTTTTTATTTTAGAAATGTTGCAAGAGTTTGAAAGAGATCAAAAAAATATATTGTAGAGTATTTGGAACATAGGGAATATAATTACTACCTTGGTTGGCTTCGGCACATTCGACAGCCAAATCAATGGCGGATTTCTTGTAGCCGATCACGACGACCTTCTTGTCCCTCAACAATTGCGTCGACTCCTCGTTGCTCAGCTTGCAATAATCGACAGTGTGCATCACTCTTCCCTCGAAAATCTCAGGCCCTTTGTCGCGAGGAAATTTTGGGATCACCGGAATATCCCCATATTTTCCCGTGCAAATCACCACGAACTCGAATGCGAACCACTTCATCGTAAAAAAGTTACAAAAATTTTCGTCAAAATCTTGAATGATAATTTTATTATCATTTCAGTTGTTTATATGAAAAATAAGGGAACGATTATGGTATTGAATTGGAAAAATCAGCACTCGTAATATATAGAAACAACACAAAGTCTTATTATACACAACACATGTTATGTATAATAATGACAGGTGATGTTGTTTCATAATTATAGCGTGCAGTATAACAAAATGTGATGTGTTGAAATTAATTAGTATTTGTGTTGTATAAGACTATAGCATGTGTTGTATTTGTATTATATGAATACAGACTGTGTGTTGCCGGTAGTAACATTGGTATAAAATTCAGCACCATACCCGCCGCCAAAAAATAAATATTTATTTTTTATTTTTATATTATACTAAAAATTAATTTTACATTCAAAATATCACATAAACACCTGTTTATATCACATCATATAATCACAATTCAAAATCCAAACCCCCAAACAAACATCTAATGATTTGAAATATACATTTTGAATTAATATTTTAAGAAAATAAAATTTTAATATAATATTTTATCTAAAAAATATATTCTCTTTCTCAAAACAATTGAGACATTTGAGATCAGCACGAGAATTAAAAAAATATTATTATTATATTAATAGTGAATATAAAAGTATTTTTAAAAAACAAAAATGCCCCTATTTTATATAATTATTGTGAAAATATGAAGATAATTTTGTAAACAAATGTAGAACTCGTTATCAAAAATAAAAATAAAAATATTATTTTGAGACGGACAAAAATAACAAAATAAAATTTATTTTGAGACTAAATGAATATTTAATATAATTTTTTATAAAAGAATAATAATACAATAAATAGGCGCCCAAAAAAATTTGAATATAACACTCAAAAGATCAAACCTCGATTTCTTCCGACGAGCCGGTCCGCACGCCAACCTCCCAGACAGGGCGGCCCGGCAAGGCTTCCAGGTAGCTGTCGCCGGAGTCTCCGACAAACCGAAGCTCGACAACTTTCGATTGAAACCTAACAAATTTTAGGACATCGAAGCGCTCGGCGTAGCCATGAAGGTAGTCGAGAATGTCAGAGGACGACGGAAAATTACCGTCGTCTCTCTCCGGCCACGGAAAGTCGGAAAATTCGTAATCGGTGCGCGGCGTTTGCAGCTTCGTGGAGCGGTAGGAGCAGTGGCGCCACACGCCACCGATCGACGCGGCAGCCTCGAACACCACTGGACAGTGCTCTGCCAGCTGTTTGGCGGCGGCGATGCCGCTGACGCCGCCGCCGATTATCGCAATTTTCGAGGGGACAGCGGCCATTATAAAATATTATTATTTTTTAATTATTATTATTTTTTATATTTTTTGAATGAGGATGGGGGATGAAATAAAATTTGGGGTATTTATAGGGGAAGTTTTTGTAGATGGGTTGATTAAATTTAACGTATATTACTGGAAAAAAAATATAGATATATTTATATGTATGTATAGGTCACTTTTTTTTTTTTTTTTTATGATCAGTCAAATTGACAAGATTATTGGAATATATATTTTGGCCAATTGTTAGATTAGTTAAATGAGTTTAGAGTTTGAATGGGGAATTTGATAAAAGAAATGTTAAATTATATACAAAAATATTTTTGCTAATTTTATTTATTCAATAAGAATAAATAGACATGTTGGTAGCGGATGAAGAAAAAATAACGTACAAAGTAGTGTCGTAACAAAAATAGTAATCAATTTGGGAGAGAGACTGCTAGTTATTATTTATTTAAATAAAATTTATATTTTTATATTTTATAAAATATATATACCTATTATATATATTTTCATTTAAATTTAATTGTAATTTTAAAATAAATAATTTTTTTTATAATGTGGGAACTTTTATATTTTTATATTTTATAAAATATATAGCTCTATTATGTATATTTTCAATTAAATTTAACTTTAAAATAAATATTTATTTTTTTTATAACGTGTAACGCTACCCGAAAGCGTGTATAGGTAAATCCTTACGGGACTAAAATAAATATTTTTGATATATATACATATAGGGTGTGTTTGTTTGGACAATTGAATTTCAAATTGAAATTTGAATAGTAAAAATTTTAACTTGGAATAATAGATATTCATATCATGTTATGTAAAATTGATTTTTAATATAATATAAAAAAATAAAAAATAAGTATTTAATTTGATGTTTTTTTTTAAAAAAAATTAATGCGTTTTTAGTTTTAAATAAATTTATCTATTTTAAATATAATTAAAAAAAATATAAATTAATTAAATTAAATTCTTATAAATTTTACATATAGAACTACTCAAAACTTATTTATTTTCATTTCATTTCAATGAACATAGTGTTGAAACGTGACTTGAATTTAGCGGTCTATTCGATCCTAAACCAAAGCGAAAGGGTTGTTTCAATTGGCAGAGTTCCTTTTGGGCTTATTCTAATTAATAACAAATAGGCTTAGAGTTTAGGGTATTTTTGGGTGTTTATAAATAGACTGCTATGGTTCTTAGTCGGATGACATAATTGTAAATCTCTGAATCAGTATAATAAAATCTCTCCGGTTCCTGCCCGTGGACGTAGGTTGACACACCGTCACCGAACTACGTAAAACCTCTGTATTCTTTATTTGTTTTCTTTTTCGTTTTCTCACAACACATATATTTTTATTCAAACTTAAAATTTCTCACTTTTTATAAAATTTAACTTATGTTAATCATAAACATATATTTTATTTATTTGTATTATAACTTCTTATTTTTTTTAAATAATGTCCATATTATATACTATATTTATTGATATATAAAATTAAGAATATTTAAATACATATTTTTTTAAAAAAAAAAAATTAATCGTATATAATTTTTTATTAAAAAAAACATCAATACCACAACTCAAATAATATATACATAATAATAATATCATAATCTACTATGTGTGACACAAGGGTAATGACATTTGTGTAATATATTGTAAGTTGTAAGGGTATTTGTAATGTTAGGTAGATAATACAGTTACTAAAAAAATGAAATGGATACTTTGTTATGGGATAGACTAAAATGAAAAAATTGATACTTTGTTATGGGACGACGGAGTACTAAACTTTATTACCTTAAATATCATATTAGTAACTAAATGCATCCACTATTAGGGAGCATATAATAACAACATTTTACTTCTTCAAAATTTGATATTAGTAGTCCAATTCTTTTTTTATTTTATTTTTTTAATAAATAAAATAAATAAATTGAGCTTGGCCATAAAAGAACACATTGAATTCAAAATTCAAATGTTGAAATGAATTTGTGTCAACAATTCATTCATATGTAACAAAAATATTCATGTTAATATGTTTTACTATTGTTCTAATTCAATGAATCTATACATATATATATATATATATAAATATATATATAATTAAATAAAATGTAACATTTTACAAATAATATCAATGAAGTTTCACAGTCATTCTTTAAATTAATAAATTAATATATAACAAAAAGGCAAGCTTGCATTGGTGTGTGTGTATATATATATATATATATACCTTTAGGCTGGTATAAGACGTTGTAGGGCAAGTCCAATCTTTGAAATTTTCATCGAGGATGAACAATATATCTATATCTATATCTATATATTAGAGCCGGCAAAAACTGATCCGACACGAAATAATTGAATTTGGGTCAAAGATTTCAATCTGATTATGTATACGGATTGACACGAACCCAACACGATAATAAACGGGTCGGGTTAGAATTGAGACTCTCAACTCGAACCCGACACGACAAACCGATTATAATATATTAATATTGATTAATATATTTATTATATACGTAAAATAATCATAATTTATTAATTTTCTCATAAATTAATTTAAACTAAGTTCAATTTTAAATAGTTCAACCTAATTTATGTTCAAACCAATAAAAACTAACATAACACGACAACACAACAAAAAAATTATTTAATTTGAATCAAGAAATTCGACTTAATTATGTATACGGGTCAACACGAGTCAACTTGAACCCGACACGATAATAAACGGGTCAACACGAACCCGACACGATAATAAACGGATTGGGTTAGAATTAAATAATTTAACACGTTCAAAGTATTCAACCCGACACGAATCGACCAATTGCCAGCTCTACTATATATATATATATATAACATTTTTTTAAAAGAATTTATGATTCTATCTAAAATATAAAACAAAAATTAACCATTGATATATACAAATATTCATGTTTTTAGAAAAAAAAAAATGTAAATAAATATTAGGATCTTGCGATCTTGCCAACTCAATAATAGAAAAATATTGTTCCCTATAAGTTGAGTTCGTAAGATTTTTATTTTTTTTTATTTTTTTTCTAGACTTTTTAAAAAGTTCTCATATTAATTAATTGGGTTAAACACGAGACTTATAAGCTGTTAGATTTTTTCTTCTAATTTTTTTTTTAAATATTAAATTTGAGTTTGCACTTTGATAGCACTGTTAATATTATAATTAAAATGTAAAAATAAAAATAAAAAAAATAATCTGGGACCATAGTTGTTAAGAATAAAAAATAGAAGAAAAATGAGAAATATATATATATATATATTGATTTCCAATTAATCCAGATGGCAAAATAAATATATTAGTGCTAGACAGAATTTTGTTATTATTAATAAAAAAATTGTAAAAAACCATCTTATCAAACCTATAATTTTTATTTTAAAATATTATATTAAATTTTAGTTCTTCATTTAATATACTATACCAAAATTTATTTATATCACATTAATATTTATTTCAAATCAAAATTTTAATATTGAAGAATTTAAATACAATCTCAAAACCAAACACACTAGCAATGATTGCATGATAAAAAGAAAAAAAAAAAAAAACTCTAAAAGAACATAATTTATTTTTATTACGATTTTTCAAAATTCAAAATTAAATAACTTTAGAGTGTATTTTATTAAGTTTTATCATTTTATTTTTTATTTAGTTTTTATACTCCCTCTGTCTCATTGAAATGTTACTATTGTCTATTTTCGTTCGTTCCAAAACAAGGTTACCATTTCTTAATCTAGTAATTATACTACCTACTTAACATAATAAATACCATTTCAACTTACAATATATTACAAAAATGTCATTATTTTTATGTTACACCATACTAATAGGGATATTTTTATCTTTTTTACTATAATCTAATATAATACTAATATTAAAAAATTTACGTGTAAAAAGCAAACGCCATCCTTCTAACGGGACAGAGAGAGTATAAAAATTCTAAAATAAATAAAATATCATGCATATCAAAAACAAATTTATTCACGTCGAACACGAATATAAGTTTGAATAATATAATTGTTTAATCGAATCAAACTCGAACAATACAAAAAAAAACTCGAATGCTTAACGAATAAACACGAATTTTGTCCGCAGATGTTAATTAAAGAATATAAACATTTAAAATTTTTGTTCAATTAGATTTATTTAAAAAAAATAAAATAAAATGTTATGGAATATTTGAATAGAAATGTCAAATGGGCTGGGCTCTTTAATTACCACTTACATTGGAACACCAATTGGGCTTAGAAATTATTAAATGGGCCAAAGTTGTGATTCATTTTGGGTTAAATTTTTAAATGCATTTCAAATTGGCTAAATAATTAATTTATTTTGAAGTTAGTACTATTCAAAATATACACTATTTGTAATGGAATATTATATTAAAGTAATGTTTAAATTAATTTTTTTTTTTTTAAAAAAAAAAGAAGAAGATATTTTAAAATTAAAATATATTTTGGATTAAATATCAATAAATAAAAAGATTAAAAATTACTTGTAGATTTAAATCTAGTACAAGTTATTTAAATAAATAATTTAAAAAATGAGTACAGTGCCAGGCTGGTGTAGTGTTGGAGTTGGCCCACGCCAAAATTAGCCACGTGCACGTGCTCCCCTAATTAATAAATAATAATATCAATAATACTAATATTAATAATAAGCTGGTTAATTAATAAATAAATAATCGGCACATGTACTGTTAAATACATATATTATCACGTATATATATACAAATATATATATAATTTAAAGACACATAAAAATAAATTTATTAATATATATATATAATACTTCCTTCTTTAATAAAGTGAATATTAATTATTAATTTTTTTATAATAAAAAATATTACAAAAATATAATAATTTTTTACTTTAAGCAAAATGAGAATATTTTTCGATGATAACCCGAAAAGGAAAAGTGAACATAAATTTAAAATGACGAAATATTTTATATATTTATGCTAAACTAAAAATAGAAATCAACATTCATATCTCTGCAAACTTGCACATGCAATGCTTCCCCATGCATCTTTATTTTATTCTCTTTTATTGGCTTCGTTCACATTACCTTTTTTTTTTTTTTTTTTATTATTATTATTTTTTTATTCTTTGGAAAATTCAGACATATTTATTCATTCTATTTTTAATTAAAAAAAATATTATTATATACTACCTTCGTCTCTATTACCACGTCTGCTACACTGTAGACACGATATGTAAGAAGGGGTGTAATTAATAGATAATGAAAAATATATTAGTGAAAATAATTATCCGATAATATAAATAATTATAAATTAAGATTAAAATAACTAATTATTTTAATTAAAATTTTTTAAAAAATAAAATTAAAAAGTTTAAAATAAAATTGAAGTGTGTAATCATTTTTCAAAAAAGAAAAATAACATGGTATGTGGGATGGACATGATATGTGGGACGGAGGGAATAAAATATTTTATTCATCTCATAAGATATTAACTTTTTTTATAACTTCAAATTTAAAACATTTATCTAAACGAAAACATTATTTTATATAATTATATTTGTTAGTTTTTAAGGAATAAATTTATTATGCTCATTTTTGCTTTGCATTCAGATGTCTTTATCCTGTTCTTCGTAATCAATATATTTATTGTTTAATTTTTTAAAAATATAATTATTGAAATTACTAATTAATATTTCTCTAATCCCACATAATTTGTCTCTATTTTTTATTTTCGTTCGTCCCACATTATTTATTTTTTTAAAAAAATATATAATTATACAATTAAATTATATTTTAAATTTATATTTTTTAAAATTTTAATTAAACTATTTAGTTATCTCAATTTTAATTTATAATATATATATATATACACGTACGTGTATTTTACTAATCCGATGCATGCATGCATGCAATTTTAAATACAATAATATGTACAGGCCCTATCTATGCATGTACATATTAGTGTACTTCATCTAAATAATTGAACTAAATTGATGGGGGTAATTCTAGTTGTATTTTGAATTATTTCATACTCTTTTTACTTTTAAATTTTTAATTTAAGATAAAAGATAAATATTAATATAAACAGTTTAAATAAAATAGTTTTGTATGTATAACTTTTTAAAAAAAAATTATTTTTTATATAATTATAAAATACTTAAAAAAAAAAAACAAATGGATACATTTTGTCAAAACGGATGAAGTATAACTTGTTTGATTATTTTTTTAATTTGAATATTTTATTTAAATACTATTATACTAAATAATATATTTTTTTGTCCCATTTGAAATGAGTTTTTAGAGTTATGTAATAGATTAAAAAATAATACTATTATTTTATTAGTTAGTAAAAGTATGTAAGAGTTTTTAACATTATATAAAAATTAATTGTATATGTGATAATATATTTGTAATTTAAATAAAAAATAATTATATTTTGGTATTAATATATAATTATTTTTATAATAAAATGAAAGATATACCTTAAAGTGAATCGATGAAAATAGTAATAATAATATTTTTATAAAAAAAATAGTAACACTACTATATCCGTTTCAAAGGTTTCATTTATTTTTTTATAATATTTGAATATTAATTATTATATCAAACGTAATACAAATAAAGAAAAAATCACAAAAATACTTCTACTAGTATTTTATAATATTAATATAAGAACATTTTTAAAAATATATGAATATTTTTAATATTACGTATTTGTTTGGGGATTCTCTCCCAAATATGTAATTTGACAGCAAAGAAATAAAAAATCCAATATAGAATATTATTTTCAAGACCACGGGATAGATCTGGTTGTCTAATGTTTCCAAATTTAATGTTGGTTCAGCATAACCATATCAACTGACACTATTAATCGTATTTTTTTCTTCCTCAAACATCAAATAGAACATTTATTTTTTATATTTTATATTATACTGAAAATCAATTTTACATTCAAAATATTATATTAACACTTATTTATATCACATCATAAAACTTAAAATTCAAACCCGAACAAACACACCCTAAGTAGAAACACACATTTTTCAAAAATAAAATTAAAACAGAGCAAATGAAGTACGTACCTTTTTCAGCAGTATAAATACACCAAAGCTGTCCACTCCATCCACCCATATATTAATTCCCATCCTCCTACCAATCACCTTCCGCCACGTGTCCCGGCACCGCCCTCACTTCCTCCGGCCAGTGCAAACAGTTACAGTTCTTCCAAAATGATCTGGACCGTCCATTTCCATCTGATCATCATCTTCTCCGCCACCGCCCTATCACCGTCGATTCAGCAAACCCTAGCCGACCTCGACCTCGTGCGGCGGTCCTGCGCCAACGCCACCTATCCTGAGATCTGCCTCCACACGCTCTCCGCCGCCGGCGCCAACGCCAGAACGCCGCGCGAGCTCGCCCAATCGGCCGTCGGAGTCAGCCTCGGCTGCGCGCGCCGAGCCTCCGGCTTCCTCGCCGGAATAAAAGCCAACGGAAAAGGAGAAGAAGGCGCGCTTCGAGATTGCTTGGAGCAGATGGCGGATTCCGTCGAGGATCTGCGGAAAACACTGTCGGCGCTGGAATTGCTCAGCCCCGGCGGCGGAGGCTCGGATTTCCGGTGGCGGATGAGCAACGCGGAGACGTGGGTGAGCGGCGCCCTGGCGAATGAGGACACGTGTCTGGACGGATTTAAGGAGATCGACGGCAGAGTCCGGTCGGACGTCCGGCGGAGGATAACGAACGTGGCTAGGGTTACAAGCAACGCTCTTTATCTCATAAATCTTCTAGAACATTCTCCATGATTCACGAACATGATGAACGCCATTGTATTTATTATTTATTATTATAGGAAAATATATATATAATGAAATTTAAATATTTTACTACCTTCCTTCAACATATTTTTGTTCCTATCTCACATCTCATATTTTATTTTTTTAAAATATTATATATTTTAATTATATTTTTGTCTACGTGATTTTTATTTTTTATTTTTGAATTGCGGGGTTGTACATCAATTATTTAAAGTTTTTAGTTGTGGCTTTGTTTTGTTTGAGGGTTTGGATTTTGAGTTGAACTTGAATAGTAAAAACTTTGAATTTGAATAGATGTATGATTCAATATAAATAGACGATTGACGTGGTGTTTTGAATGTAAAATTGATTTTTAGTATAATATAAAAAATAAAAAATAGGTGTTTGATTTGATATTTTTGCGAGAAAAAAATGGGACGAATAGTAAATTTAAAATTCAATCCCCCAAACAAAAAAATATATATATATAATTAATTCGAGCAAATTCTTACAATAATCACAAGATCATTAATTGTTAAAACATTTTTATACAATTTCAATTTATGAAGAATGTGTAAGATCATACAACTTCTTGAAAATATGAATTTATTTAGCCATGATAAGCCAACACAATTTAAAAATCATACGTTTATGTTAATTGGATAAATGACCTAGGAAAAGAAAAAGGAATATATATAACTGTTTTTTTTTTTTTTTTTTTTTTTTAAGTATGGTATATAATTTTTTTCATGACTTTAAATTAATTATATTTGAAAGTAGTTATATAAGTAAAAAAATTTCGTTAAAATAGTTATTCGGTGTCGGATTCACCACGTTGGCCATCCTTGTAGCGCTGACGTAGTTGACATGTCATTGTCATGTTAATGTCACACTATAAAATTTTAATTTTTTTAAAAAAATTATTTATTTTTAAATTACCAAAAAAAAACATATGTCGCTGACGTGATGATGACATGTCAGTTGCATCAGCAACGGCAGATCAGTATGACAATTCTGGCACCGAAGAATTATTGTAGTGAAAATATTTTACTTGTAAAACTATTTTCAAATGTGGTTCATTTAAAATTCTAAAATGATAAAAAAATATCAAATACGGACTAAAAAATACTTCATCTCCAGTTAGAAAGTATACATATTTATATTTTGGAACGTCAAATTACAAAGTAAACATTTCATTAAATATTTCATTTTTTTCCGCAAATACCCTTACTTTACATCACATCATTACTTTTACACCAAAAAGCAAGGACAAAAATATCACTATACTACTTTTAACTACCAACTATAATTAAAATACAATTATTTATTAAATATCGTGTCAAAAGTAAATATGTACATTGTAAGTGAACGAATGAAGTACTATTTTTATCCAAAAATATATTACCAACAACCTTGATGATAGCGGTGAATTAACTTGAATAAAGATACAGATATGTTTGTGTTTCATTGTTAGACGAACTGAATATATTTATATTTTAAATGTAGCAATTGGTTTGACTTATTTTATTTTATTATATTTCTATTGTCACAAGATTTTTCTTTTTTTAAAAAGAAAAAAATGAAATCAAATATTTAGTTTAAATTTTCATATTAATAATAAATTAATTTTTATTTATAATGTATTAAATAATTATTTAAATTTAAAGTATTACTATTCAAATTTAAACCTAAAATTTAAATCCCAAACAAATTAAACGCACCTTATTATTTATAAAAATCTTTTCAAATATATTATATATTAAATACATATTTTTGTTTTTTTTTATGTTACATTAAAAATTGGTTTTATATTTAAAATAATACTATATCAAAATTTATTATTCAAACAAAATGTATGCGTGAGTATTACATTACATATAAATATACAAATAATTTCCATACAAGATGTACTTAAATGATTAAAATATAATTTGAATATGCAATTCTAGATTTTATTTATTTATTTATTTTATTTATTTAGGGGTTAATATCAATTAATTAAATAATTAATTGTGCAGGTAGGGAGCAAATAAAATGGATGAGTTTTGGCCACCGAAGCCAAAAGAATTGGATAACGCCACTTTAATGTCCATCCTTTCTTTCTTTCGTCCCACCAGCAACTTTATGTCCTGAATTATTATTATTATTATTAACAAAGAAGAAAAATAGTGGAGATATCATATAGATATAATTGTATACATATTAAAATATTTTTTTTATTATTATAAATGCCCATATTAATAAAGAACATGTGTAGAAAAAAATATTTCATTATTTTATATATAAAATTCACACAAGATTTTATTAATATTTGCCTCGTCAATTTTTTATTCTCCTAAAGTATATTTACATGATTTTTTAGGTGATTATCTTTTTGTTATGAATGGACAAATTTACCCTTAAGTGTATGGTAGAGATTAAAAGTAATAAATGAATTAAGGGTAAAAATGTAAAAATTGTGTTTAAAAAGGGAAATGGGACAATAGTTGTTGGACGTCCCAAATAGAAAAGTAGGACATTAGTTTGTGGACGGAGGGAGTACTAAATAAAATATATATATATATATTTATTGTTTGTGGAGATCTGATTTATTAAAAAGAAAATGACTATTGTTAGTCTACGAATAGAGCAATACTCTCTTCGTCTTAAACAAGGTGAAATATTTGTTTTTTGCACGGATTTTTAGGTGGGTAGTATTAAGTAGGATAATTTAGAAATTAAGTGATGTGATAGAGAGAGAAATATATATTTTATTTTTTTACTTGGATGATGTGAGGGGATAAAATGTGGGGTAGAGATTAAATATAATTAATTATTTCATATTTTGGAAATATTGCAGAGTGTTTGGGACATACAAAAAAGAAATATTGCAGGGTGTTTGGGACGGAGGAAGTACTATTTAGGATGCTCATTTATGCTTTTTTTATAACGTGAGAATCCGTTTTCGAAAAATTACTTATAACTAATACGTAATTTGGAATATTTACCTCATTCTCTTTTCTTTCTTTTTTTCTTTTTTTTTTCATTATTTAGAAATTTTGTACATTTAAAAAAAAATACGAAAAAGTCTTTGTGTAGTTTCTAAAGAATATTGTATAATAATCCCTCCGTCCGCTTACAAAGTTTACATGTTTCTATTTTGGGACATCCAATTACAAAGTTTATATTTCATTAAATACCCTACTTTTTTCCATAAATACCCTTACTTTACATCACATCATTACTTTTACACAAAAAAAAAAGTAAGGGCAAAAATATCATTACACTACTTTTAACTACTCACTATAATTAAAATACTATTATTTCTTAAATACCGCTCCAAAAGTAAATGTAACCCTTGTAAATAGACGGAGGGAGTACTTTTTAAAGAATGAGAAATCCTTGTACAGTTTTAAAATTATAAAACAATAATAATAAAATATCCAGATTATAAGTAATTTTACTTTATTTATATTTTCATACTTCTACAACTATGAAATCTTAGATGTGATGTACTAAAAAAAAAAAAAAAACTATATAAATCACTTGTAAAATCTATATAAAGTGAAATAAAATTTTGAGTATTCACATTTTGTGTTATAACCCTTTAAAATAAATAAATAAATAAAATAATACTCCATATGTTATTTATTTATTTATTAAGGTGATAATATTTTTTCAACATGATTTTTTGTATATGTAAAAATTGTGTTGATGTTATTCTTTTGAGGAAAAAGTCATGTTGAAAAACTAAATTATAAAAACACAAATAAATTATTCCTAAATTATTAATATTAAGTGAAATAAGATTTTTAGGCTCGGGGTAAATAAATAAATAAAATGGCGGGATGTAAGAATACGTACCACTCCGTTGTCTGGATTTTCAAGGTTTATATTAGGATGAATCCAACCCGTTTGAATTGCCTACAACATGATTATGAAACGTCAGATCAAAGTAAATTATACTCCTTCCGTCTCACTTATTTTGTCAGTTTTATTTTTTTGGAAAATAATTATACACTTTAATCTTATTTTTAAAATTTTAATTTGTAATTTTTTTAATGTTAATTATACTAATCAATTATTTTAATCTTAATATATAATTATTTTCATTAATATATTTTTAATTATTTACTAATTATACTCTCCTAAATTCTCGTGTCTACAATAACACGGACAAAATATTCAGGACGGAGGGAGTATCATTTTATAGTAGTATTTTTTTCCCTCGCTAAAAAGCATTTGTTTTTCAAAATTATAAGATTTGCTTACCCTGATACTTTTGAAAGCTTTAATGTTATTCATCAATGTAGTTTTTTTTTTTTTACAAAAAATATTGCATCAAATGTCATATTAAGTATCACTCTCTTTGTCCGGCATAATTTATATTTTTTTTTAAAAAAAATATAATTATATATTTTAACCGCATATTAAAATTCATAAATTAATCATCTTAATTTATAATTATTTTTATTAATATATTTTTAAATTACCTACTAATTACACAATACTTAAAACTTTGTGTCTAAACTAAAGATGACAATTTACCTAAGACAGAGGAAGTAAATTTTAATATATATTTTTTTTTAAATTTCAAAAATTATTTGTTTAAATGCACCTTTATTCAAAAGAATTTTCAACTTCAAAACACCACTTAATTAAATTTTGGTTAACAAATCTATGCATGTATAATATTAATATGTAGGCGACTATTAGGGTGCTAATAACCACTACAAAAAAAATATATTTGTAACGGAATTCCGTCCCTAAAATTCACGTAGCTAACGTAATTCTATTCCTAATTTTGTCTCTAATGTCATTAGTAACGAAAAAAAAGTAGATTTAGAGACAAAAAAATTTTGTTACAAAATTGATTTTTTCTTGTAGCGAACTGATTTGACTCAATCAGCACATATAATAGAATATATTTTAATATAGCACAACATAACAATACACTACATAGAAATATATGTTGTGTAATTTATATATATATATATATATATTATACTGAAATCAATAATATATTGCGTTATGTAAAATTATATCACGTGTAATAAGTACCTGTACAGTGGCAACAGCCTCGACAGCACCGGCAGCTCCAACAAGGTGCCCAACCATTGATTTCGTCGAGTTCATCTTGAGCTAATCCATCGAAAAATTAACTCACAAACTAATTAATTAAATTAATTGTTACAACTATAATATATAATCATCAAATATTTATAATAATTATATCGATTATTAAAATTAAATTAATTTAACCTCTGGATTTTTTCCGAAGCAGTGAGCAACGGCTTGGAACTCCTTAAGATCGCCGACGGGAGTGGAGGTCCCGTGCGCGTTTACGTAGTTCACCTCCTCTTTCGATACTCCCGACTCCGCCAAAGCCTTCTCTATGCATTCGATTATCCCCGTTCCTAATTCATTAGTTAATTCAAATTTAGTGAAATTTACGTTGTTAATTAGTCTAATTTACATATTATTAATTTATATTAAAAATTTATCTAAAAAAATATTTGAATAATTGTTACTGCAAATTCTCAGGTTATAAAAAAAAAAGTGTATATATTTACTTTTGTTTACGAAACAATAGTTTTTTAATTGTAGCGAATAGTTAAAAATAATGTAAAAATAATTTTGCCTTTATTTTTTTATATAAAAATAATAATACGATAGTAAAATATGTGTAATTGTAATAAAATAATAAAAAAAAAAGACTCAATAGTTATTAAAAAAATAACTGATTACTTTGTAATTAAATAATCTAAAATAGAAATATATATACTTTGTGAGTTGACTGAGAAAATATCAAATAATTATTTTAATTAAAATTTTATTACTTCCTCCGTCGTACTGTAGACACTGTATTTTAGGAGAAGTATAATTAGTAGATAATTAAGAATGTATTAGTGAAAATAATTATCCGATAATATAAATAATTATAAATTAAGACTAAGATAATTAATTAGTTTAATTAAAAATTTTTAAAAAAATAAAATTAAAAAGTTTAAAATGAGATTAAAATGTATAATCATTTTCCAAAAAAAAAAAAAATAATATGGTATATGGGACGGACAAAAACGGCAACGTGGATATGATATGTGGGACGAAGAGAGTATTTAAAACACAAAACTACGTTACCTTCTGGATGGGGATCTGTCATGTGATAAGCATCACAAGTGAAGCTTCCACCAAGAAACTCCGCATATATAGTTGCACCTCTCCTCTACAAATAATTAAATAAATAGTTACGAATCTCTATGTAATTCATTGAAAATTTTAATGAACTTCAATATATTTTTTTCTGTCTCAATTAAAAATATTATTTTTATCATTTTCTTTCATCTCACTTAAAAGTATTAATTTTTAATTATAGTTAAAATAATCAGAATTAAGTATCAAGATATCCCTTTAATTTTTTATAAAAATATTCACTTCATTTGTACTTTCAAATGCATAAATATCAAAATTATATTACACACTTTCATTATTTAATAAAATATTATTATTTTTAAATTTAGTAAAAAATAAAAAGATATATTGAGTTGAGACGAATATAATAGTATTTAGATCAGGACCTATATTTTTAAAATTTAACTCATTATTATTAATAGTTGTACTCCCTCCGTCTCATAACAAAGTATCTATTTTTCCATTTTAGTTCGTCCTATAACAAAGTATCTATTTCATTTTTTTAGTAACTGTACTATCTACCTAACACTACAAATACCCTTACAACTTACAATATATTACACAAATGTCATTACCTTTATATCACACATACTAATAAAGTTATTTTAGTCATTTCTACTTTATTCATACTATATTCTAATATAATATTAATATTTTTAAAACTACGTGCAAAAAGCAAATGAATATTTAGTTTCGGGACGGATGGAGTATTATTTTTAAAAATTACCTGCATGCATGATCATAATCATTTTTTTGTATTGTTATATATATAATTGTATTTGGCTAAGAGGGCTCATATTGTTATTGATATTATTATTGATTTATAGTCAAGATTTTTTTACTGATAATACATTTTGTATGTATATTAATTTATTAGATATATAATTAAAATAATTTTTATTTATGAAATTTATTCACAACAAGAAAATATTAATTTTGTAATAAGGTTTTTTTATTATTAAATTTACTTTTTCCGTTACTAATGACATTAGAGAGAGAATTGCGTTAACTACGTGAACTTTTAAGACGGAATTTCGTTATTAATATACTATTTTTTTTTGTAGTGATTACTCTATCCTCTATATTATGTTTATCTTTTTATTTCTACGTGTCTCACTACAATTTAATTTCAATTAAAAAATTTTAATTTATAATTTTTTTTTTTAAAATTGTAGTTAGACTAATTATACAATAATTATTTTTACTATTGTATTATTAATTATTTACTAATTATATTTCTCGTAAACTCTCGTATCCACAGTAAAAGAGACACGATAGTCGAGACGGAGGAATCATTATATTTGTGGATAATATCATTGTGAATATAAATTTGATTACTTTTTATAAGATGTATAATTTATTTTTTTACTCAGAATCCTTAAAAAATCCGAGATGATCCTAATTTAGATAGATAATAAATAAATAAATAAATGTACCTTAGCATGTTGTAATTCCTCCAAGATCAACACGCCAGCGCCCTCCCCCAAAACGAATCCATCGCGATCCTGTAAACATATTATTTTGAAATATTATTTTATATTCTTTCAATTAATTTCAATTAGAATGTCATATTTAAAATTTAAATTAAAACACATAATCTTTAATATTCTCTCCCTCCCGATACAATACAACAGTCTTATTTACTATTTTTGTCCGTCCCAAAACAATAGTCTTATTTCCATAAATAATCATATCACTGTAAAACTACCCTTACTTTTTCATTATTATTACACAATTGCCACTACTTTTTACACTAACACAATTACAAGGACAAAAAAGTTATTTACCTTTACATGTATTTTTTACCCACTACTAATATAAAATCAATATTATTTAAATCACGTGTCAAATACAACTTACACTACAGTTCTGGAGAAGGAGGAAGTAATAAATTTTAAATTTTAAAAATGAATAAATAGTCTCTGCCTAACCTTAATGGCTACTAATTACAGCACGAGTGTAGTCAAGCGATTATATTTTATTTTATTTTTTAGAAAAAACCTTAATGGCAATTAATTACGGCTGTCCTCATGTCCTAGATACTAGCTAGGGTAGTTGGCAGCCAACGGCTACCCAGCAGGCCAATTATCAGACAGAGATTTGGGCCAGTTTCTGTAAGGATAGAATTGTAATTTCATAAAGTTAGTAATTTGAATTTTGAATTAAAATAAAATAAAAACGTACATGAGAAATTTTCTCGTAACACAAAAATATAAAGGGATATTATGCAATTTTTAAAATACGTAGTGATTTATACTGAGGTTCGATACTACGGAAGAATTATAAATAATTTTGTCAATTTTTTTTTATATTAAATCTTGATTTTTATGAGGAATAATATATATATATATTAAAAATCATATCGAAAAAAAAAAAAAAATTATGGGCAAATAAACTCATAATATTTTACAAAAGCAAATAATATTACCCTAAATATATACTCATTCCATTTCACACAATTTGTCTATATTTTCTATTTTCGTTAATCTCACATAATTTGTTATTTTCTTTTTTGGAAATATAATTATACACTTGAATCCAATTTTAAAAATTTAAATTTTATAATTTTATAATTTTAATTAAACTATTTAGTTATTTTAATCTTAATCTACAATTATTTTTACTATACAATAATTATTTTTACTAATACACTTATTAATTACTTATTAATATTATATTTTCATTGTACTTTTATTTTTTATTTTAAATATTGAATAAAATAGATATTTCTCTGTGATGAAGAAAATAATATAAAAGAATATGAAATAGATAGAAAATTAAAAAAGTTACGTACAGTGTCCCAAGGTCTCGAGGCTTTTGTTGGATCATTGTTTCTTTGCGATAATGCTCTGCATGCAACAAAACCTCCTACTCCTGAAAAAAATAAAAAAAAAAAAAATAAATAAAAATAATAATAATAATAATAATTTTATTAAGTTCGGACACGAGAGCACACTCGAAAAATAGCAATTGCGAATTCCCACATCATCATAAAAATAAAAAATAAAATAAAATCACCATTCATAACGCTACTATATTTTATTTTTGTGTTAAAAAAATACAGGATGAGACTATGTCATTTATTTATGGCATGTGTTGTATAAGAGTATGTTATGTGCTAAAATCAACTGTTGCATGTCTTGTGTGAGACTATATTTTGTATTGTTAGTTTATATGTTGTATTTGTATTAAATTAATATAAATAATGTACTAATAGTAGTAATATTTGTAATATAACTAATTTTGAAAATATTATTATCAATAAATAATATCAAAATTTTCAAATACTCCCTCCGTCCCACTGAAAGGTTGTCATTTTCTATTTTCGTTCGTCTCAAAACAAGGTTATCATTTCATAATTTAGTAATTGTACTACCTACCTAACATGATAAATACCCTTTCAATTTACACTATATTACACAAATGTCATTACTTTTATATTACACAATACTAATAGGAGTATTTTCGTCTTTTTTAGTATAATCCATTATAATACTAATATTAAAAAATTTACGTGTAAAAAGTAATGTGTATAAATAAAGCCAATGCGTATATGGGTACGTAAAGAGAGTAGACTTTACCAAATGGTACAACTGCTGCATCCGATCCGCCGCATAGCATCATGTCCTACAAAATTTTGCATGTATATTAAAGGAGAACTTGTTAAAATATACTCCCTCCGTCCCATATAACATGGGCGTATTACTGTAGACACAAAAATTTAGATAAAGTATAATTAGTAAGTAACTAAGAAGTGTATTAGTAAAAATAATAATTATTTAGTAAAAATAATTATAGATTAAGATTAAGATAAGTAAATAGTTTAATTAAAATTAAGAAAATTATAAAATTTAAAATTTAAAATGCGATTAAAGTGCATAATTATATTTCCAAAAATAAAAAGGACAAGTTATGTGGGACGGACAAAAATAAAAAATGGGGACAAATTATGTGGGACGGATGGAGTATTTGAGTAATATTTTTAATAAAAATGCATAATAATTATTAATTTTTATTGCAAAATATATATATTTAATTAAAACGGTAAATTATGTAATAGCTTACTGTATTTTAGTAAAAATGCACAAAACACCATATGTTTTATTTATTGTGTAAAATCCTCATGTGTTAATTTAAAGTTTGTGCGAAACGTCATCTTTGTCCAAAACTGATATATCGTTCTAAATAAAGACCTAAAGTACGTAATATTTATATAAACAAAAAACGCAAAATATCTTAAATAAATTTTTTTTTAAGAAAATAAACAAATAAATAATTGATTAATAATTTATTTTATAGTTTTTTGAGACAAATTGTTATCTGATTTTTATAAAAACTATAAATATAAATGATTGATCAATTATTATTATTTTTTTATTTTATTCAAAGAAATTATTTAAAATATTTTACGTTTTTTATTTGTATAAAATTTGTGTAATTTAGATCTTTATTTAGAACCAGATATCAGTTTTGAACAAAGTGGGTGTTTTTGTGCAAACTTTACATTAATACAAGGGGGGTTTCATGTAATAAATAAAAACAGATGTTTTGTACATTTTTACTGAAAGACAAAAGAATATTATATAATTAACCCTAATTAAAAAATAACATTTTATTTTTTTTTATTACAATCCAAAAATAGATTTGGATGGGAAGGGAGTATATAATATACTAGGTGCATGTTTATAGCTAGCGGCGGATCTAAAAAATATTATTGCTTGTGTCACAAAATATAAATTCAAAAATAAATTTAATAAAATCCCAAAATTAAAATTCATCCCATGTGTTTATTTATATGTCTATTTTAAAATCTTTGATGAAATGCTTGTTAACATGATGCTTGTTTATTATTACTCCATTCGTCCCATAAGAAATATATAATTTTTTATTTTTGTCCGAACCAAAACAAATGTATCATTTTCTAATTTAGTAATTGTACTACCTATCTAACATAATAAATACCTTTACAATTTATAATATATTACACAAATATCATCACTTTTATTACACACCATACTAATAGGTGCATTTTCGTCTTTTTTACTACAACCTAATATAATATTAATATTAAAAAATCTACCTACAAAAAGCAAACGGTATTCTTCTTACGGAACGGAGGAAGTACTCCCTCCGTCCACCACCAATCTATTCATTTTGTCATTTTAGTCTGTCCATCACAAATGTATCTATTTTTTTTTTTTTTTTTAGTAAATGTACCTTCAACTAAAATATAAAATTACCACATTCTTTATATAATATTACATAAATGCCATCAAATAACACCACTTAATACCATAAATATTAAGGGGTATAATAGTCTTTATGTATAGCAATTAATTCGAATAAAATCTTTAAATTTTGAATATTTTGAGAACTTACAGCTTCACCTCTGAGAATATGGTTAGCCGCAGTGAGTATGCAGAAATTGCTGGTCGCACAAGCTGTGGATATCGAGTAATTCGGCCCCATCCATCCCTTCGGGAAAAAAAAAAAAAACAAAAAACATAACAAAGTAAGAACGATCAGAGCGTATTAAAAAAATAACGATTACAAATTTGTCTATTATTCTCTTCGTCCTAATTTAATTTATCATTTTTATTATTTTCGTATGTATCATAAATATCAAAATATCATTAATGTTTACTTAAATTATATATATACTACTATCTCTGTCCAGCTACAAAGTATACAATAGTTTTTTTTGTGTTGATATTTAAATATTAATTATTATATCAAAATATAATACAAATAAAGAGAAAATGACAAAATTACATCTCTTAGTCTATTATAACACAAATATAATTATATTTTTGGAGTAAACTATACAAATATAAGAATATTTTTAAAATTAAATACAATGGCACAAAAATATATGTTTACTTTCTGGCTTAACAGAGGTATTATAAAAATGTCAAGACATCTTAATAAAATATTACTCCCTCCGTCCCACATACCGTGTCTACGTTGCCGTTTCTGTCTGTCCCACATACCATGTCACTTTCATTTTTTGGAAAATGATTACACACTTTAATTTCATTTTAAACTTTTTAATTTTTTTAAAAAATTTTAATTAAACTAATTAGTTATCTTAATTTTAATTTATAATTATTTATATTATATGATAATTATTTTCACTAATATATTCTTAATTATCTACTAATTATACTCTTCCTAAAATACTATCTACAGTATAGCAGACACGGTATATGAGACGGAGGAAGTATTATTATTTAATTTCCTACAAAAATTTCAAAGAAATATATTGGAAGAAACAGGAAATGAGATAAAAAAAAATGGTGCTTGCAAAAAATAATATTTTAAGAAACAATAAAGTATTTATTATTAGGAATTTGCTTGTTGAGTGTTTTTTATTTGAAATTATTTTTGTAAGAAATATAAAAATTTATATAAATAATATAAAAAATAATAATATTTTAAATTGAATGTTATATTTATAAAAAATAAAATATACTTTTTTTTCCATATATTTTTGGTGTATTTTTTTACATACGAGAATTTAAGTAAAATATAAATAGTAGGTAATTAAGAAGTGTATCAATAGAAATAATTATTATTTAGTAAAAATAACTATAAATTAAAAATAAAATAAATAAATATTTTAATTAAAATTAAAAAAATTATAAAATTTAAAATTTAAAATATAATTAAAATATATAATTATATTTTTCAAAAAAAAAAAAGACATGTTACGTAGTGTCACGGACAAAAATAAAAAATAAGAATAAACTATATGGAACGAAAAAAATATATTTTTACACGAAATATAAAAAATTATATGAATAATATAAAAATAATAATATTTTAAATTAAATGTTATTTCTATAAAATAAAAAATAAAAAATATATATATTAAGAATCATTGAAAAAAAAAAAGAAAATTGGATAAATAAACTCTATGAAACGAACCAGATCGCGTGCAAGCATGGCGGAACCCATGTTGGTGGTCAGTAATGGCACACTGTACGGACTCAGCTTTCTGTACGGCGAGCTCCGAAACACGTCACTTCCCTCTTCGAACAGCTGTATTGTATTTGTTCATATTCCAATTATTTCCACACTTTGATGGTGAAATTGCATAATAAATACTTATATATCCGTTGAGTTTCGTTTATTTTTTATGGGTTAATTTTATAATCTTTTCGTCTCATAATTAGCTGTTCATCGATTTGGTTTTTGCACGTAGTTTATAAATATTAATATTATATTATGATATAATAAGAATAAAATATAAATGACTAAAATAATTTTATTAGTATAATGTGATACAAATATAATGACATTTGTGTAATATATTGTAAATTGCAAGATTATTTGTAATGTTATTTAGATAATACAATTACTAAAAAAAAAATTTGATACTTTATTATGGGAAGAATTAAAATAAAAAATAAATATAGAGAGTGATATTAATTATTATATCAATATATAATATAAATTAAAAAAATTACAAAAATATTTTCATATGTCTTGTAATACTATAATAGAAGAACATTTATAAAAAAAAAAAGAAAATTATATAAATATAAAAATATTTTGAATGTTAATAATATGCAAACCAAATGTAAATATGACTTATAGATGAGGCCGGGACGAGGGAAGTGTTGTTTTAATATTTAATGATAAATTAAATTCAGAAAAATGTTGAATTAAATTAAAGTTACCTTGAGCCCTCCCATGGCGGAGCCGATCAGAATTCCACAGCGAGCTTTGTTCAATTCATCCATGGCGTCTCCGGTGACTCCGCCGTCGGCCAGAGCCTTCTTCCCCGCCAGCAGCATGTACAGCATGAATTTGTCTGTTCGTTTCGCCAATTTCGGCTCAACAAATCCCTCCGTCGAAACCGATTTTATCTCCGCCGCAATTCTCTGCAACCGATCCAAATCAATTTGAAATTCAACTCAACTCAGTTCTCAGTAAGATTTTGTTCTAAACAGCCATCAGATCAGATCTCAGAACAAAGCTTCAGAGAGAAAGAGAAATACGTACGGTTGGGAATTGAGAACAATCGAAATTTTCGATGAGACTAACGCCGCTGATGCCTTCTAGAAGGTTGTTGTAGAAGACGGTTGGATCGTTTCCGATCGGCGTCTCCACGCCCATACCTGTGACCACCACGCGCCGCCGTCGCTCCACCGGAGTTTTCATCCTCTCTGCAACTCCGTCCGTCGCTGGATCTGCGATTACAGAGAATAACGACACAATTTCTACTTGACGTACGGAAAAGAATGGAAAAAAAGGGAAAAAAAAAAAGAAAAAAAAAGAAAAATCACTTCACTTCAAAGCAAGGTACGTTTGTTTTGCATTTTGGTTTGAAGTGATTTTTCTTTTTTTTTTTTTTTATATATAAAATATAAAGAATTGTGTAAATAATATTATCTCCATTTCAAAATTATAGTCCGGTTGTGTTCGGTATAGTTGTGTTCGGTATAGCGGGTAAAAAATACTGATAAAAGATCTTTTTGTCTTTGCAAGTAGATTAATGTAAAAAATAGTTGCTTATAGTCATATGATTATTTATGGAAATGAGATTATTGTTTTAAGACGGAAAAAAATGATAAACAAAACTATTGTATTGAAACGGAAGGAGTAAAAAAATAATAAATATATAATATATTAATTTTTTAGAAAAATATATTAAATAATTTTTGTATAAAAAAACACACTAATGTCATAAAAAAAAAAAAAGGAAAAAGAAATTTTAAATTTGTATAAGTATATTTTTCTTTATTGGTGATTGAGGCATGAACTTTTGTACCTTATTTCATTAAAGTGGATATTCCTATTTGTTGGGTATAATCATAATTTTTTTTATTTTGTACTTTAAAAATTATTGTATTTATTTTTATATTTTATATGCGTATATAATTCATTATCGTTTTTAATAAAATTTGTGTCTTTTTCAGGCAAATCGATCGAGCAACACACAACTAAATCATTTACGCTAGACACTTTTGCGAGTTTTAAAAATTATAAATTTTAAAAATAGTAAAAAATTAGTATACGTCGACAAACAAGATATAACGGAAAACAAAAACTGACCCGATTGGCGACAAGCTGGGCGGAGGAAATTTCTTCCCCGCGGCCTGCCATTGTTATAGAGACAACGTCGTCCAGAGTTGTGATTGAGAAATGAAATAGAAGAAGAATCCTTTATATATGCGACCCCTGAAATTCCGGCGGCCGCCGCCGCCGCCGACATAAATGTAGAGCAGAGTTCCGGTGATGCCGGGACCGCCATTACCACACCACTCTCTACAAAATGCTACAGAATATTATGCAGTCTTATATATATTTATACATACATGCAGTAGGTTATTTTTTATTTTTTTTTATTTTTTGACGTGAGAACTTGCAGCGGCTACCCAAAAGTGCGCACTGGATAAACCTCCGACTAAATTTAATACTCTGCAAACTAAGCTCGACAAGCAAGTCACACTAGGCTAACCATGTAGGTACTTTTACATATTATAGTGGTAGAGGTATATTTTGTTTCATTTTTATAAAAGGTTATATATTTTAATTATATTTTAAAAATTTTAAATATTAATTATCTTAATATTAATATATAATTATTTATGTTATATTGTAATTATTTTTTATTAATATATTTACAAATTGTATCACTTCAAAGTGGGACGAAGATACTAATAATAGTAATTCCACCCTTTAACAAATGGTTTGTTTGTTTTACATACACTGTTCCTAATATATACAAGAATAATATATATATTTTTGTTTTAATTAAAAATATTATTTTTATCATTTTTATCTGTCCAATTCAAAAGTATTTATTTGTTATTATACTTAGAGTAATCACATAATATTTAAACACTCATAATTTTTTATTAAGTTATAAATATACTATTACACATATAAATAAAATATAAACAGTATAAATGTTGAAATTATTTTACAAACTTTTATTAACTAATAAAATAATATTATCTCTTAATCTACTACGAAAACTCAAATAAATCTAATAAAAGAACCGGTAAAAATGACCTGATGTATTTTTGTTTTGTGACGGGACAGACTCAACCTGATTTTTGAACGGTATATAAAATCTTTATTTCATCGTGCTTGGGGTGCTGTCTTTTTTCCTATGGTCTAGCCAATGAATACGAAAATCTTAGTTATGTTAAAGCAATCTTTCGGGCGAATAAGTCACGTACGATCAAGTCAAATCATAACACTTACAACTTACAAGTCGGGGAAGATCAACTCGTCTTTATCTTTTAATTATCATACCACGAAGAAATGAAATAGACTAGCCGAGCCTTTTCAGCAATGGCGGCTAGAAGCCGATATGATGATTGATTTGGCCAATCCGATAGCATTCTATCCTTATGTTAGTTATTAATAGATAGAATTAGTCGGGGCACTGTAAGAAATTATCAATTTTGTAGCGATATTTTTTCGTTCCTAAATTCATTTTTTCCGTTACTAATGATATTAGAGACAAAATTAGAGATGGAATTACGTTAGGTACGTGAACTTTAGGAACGAAATTCCGTTACAAATATACTATTTTTTTGTAGTGGGGGTAGACCCGATCCATCAAGTGACGCCAAAAGTCGTTTTAAATCGAACCTGAGAGCTTAAGCTCAACCATGGCCTTGTTTAAATTGTGCCGGGTCAGACTAGCCTGAATTTTAATTTATTTTTATTTTAAATTTGGTTTGCATAATTTTCTTTATTAAAAATAAATTGCATTAATTTAAATAAATACAATTACAATACAAAAAATATTTTTTATTGATAATTAAAAATTTTAATATTAAATATATAATTGATATTTTATTTTATTATATATTTATAATATATTAGAACATAGTTCAATTAAAATTTTATTTGATAAATTATACCAGACCAGATACGTTCCGGATTTTCAACCGTTGGATCCAAAAAAATTTCAGACCTATTTTTTAGGATCAAATATTTATTTTTCGTATCGAATTAAGGAGGAGAAATTAAATGCTAAAAACCCTAAAACAGTAGTTATTAATGGACATTAAAAACTGGCTGCACCAATGTATCAGTTAAATGGTCCTTTCTACTTTAAATAAAATATTAAAATTTAATATTATACTTTAATGAAATAAAATAAATTTTTAAACAATAAATATAAGAGAAGTAATTGTAAATGAAGCGTAGGGTCGATTTTTACTTTTTGAAGAGCTTGGGTGAAACAAAAGTTACAACTACTTAAATATATAAATATATATATATATATAATATTCCCTCGTTTCAGCTAGAAAGTATATGTATTTTTATTTTGGAAAAACTCATTTCAATCATTCATCGGATGTCCAATTATAAAGTAAATTTTTTATTAAAAACCTCACTTTTTTTTTATAAATACTCTTACTTTACATCACATTGTTACTTTTATACCAAAAAAGCTAAGACAAAAATGTCATTACACTACTTTTAACCACCCACTATAATTAAAATATTATTATTTCTTAAACACCGCATCAAAAGTAAGTGTACATTTTATATGTGGACGGAGGGAATATTTTTTATTTATAATAAAATATAAATAATAAAAGAAATTATCATTTTTATGAAAAATATCAATAATAATATTAATATTAATTTTATCTACATATTTTCTTTTTAATACAAAAAAAAAAATCTTAAAACAAAAATAAAACGTCCCAAAATATATATAAATGATGTAAGTCTATATATATTTTTTACCTATATTAGAATATAAATAACTTTTTAAAATATTTTTAAATGCAAAAATATCAATAATAGTATCAATATTAATTTTTTCTAAAAACTTTTAAATTGAAACTCCTAAATATACATAAATTAATTTTTTACCAATAATAAAACATTTTTGTAATATTTTTAGATGCAAAATATCAATAATGGTATTCGTATCTAATTCTTTTTAATGTATAAAATATTATATTTATAAAAAAATCAAAATTTGAAGACAGAGAATAGTCCGGTAATGTTTGTTGTATTTTGGTTTAGTGAAAAAAAAATTATGTTAAAGTATAAAAAATGATGTAAGTAATATAAAAATAATGAATGAAATATAATACTTCCTTCGTCCCATTGAAAGGTTATCATTTTCTATTTTCGTTCGTTTCAAAACAAGATTACTATTTCCTAATTTAGTAATTTTACTACATACCTAACATAATAAATATTCTTTCAACTTACAATATATTACTTTATTATCTTACAAAAATTAATAATTCAACATCAAATATTATTTTTTATATTAACAATATAAATTTTTATATTTCATATTAAAAAATATATATAATATAGGTTATGTGACCTATTTTTCTTTTATTTAAAAAATATCAGCCCAATTGTCAATACTCATTATAAATGTATTCTTCCTTTTTTTTATAAAAAAAAAAGAAGAAAGAAATACTAATATAACATGGTGTGTTTGGTTTTTATTTTAAATGAAAAATAATATTATCAACTTTCTACTATTCTCAATAAAAGTATACTATTTTATTTAACAAAATATAGTATTCAAATATTATTTAAATTAAAATTTAAAAAACACTACGTTACAAATCAATTTCAAATAACTAAACAAACTAATAAAATATTAGATCATATCAAAATATCAAAATACTACTTCACCTTACGGATTTCTTTGTGACTTTTGTATGGATTCAAACCACAAACGCCTCCAGATTTATATACCACACGTGGTTCATCTAGTGTAACTTGCCTTATTAGGCCTAGTTTGCTAAGTATTAGATTCGGTCGGAGATATACCCAGTGCGCACTTTCAGGTAGTTGCTGCGGGTTTTCACATTATCAAAAAATAAATAAAATACTACTTCACCTTACATAATATTACAGTCTTTTACACAAAATATATAGAAATAATATTTCAATCTATTTTTACTTTTTACTCTATTTCAGGTGAAAATTGAAATTTATATAAAATTATAATTTTTGAATAAAGTAGATAGTGCAACCGCGTAAGAAAAATACGAACAAAGTTCATTAGTGATAATTGTGTAAACAAATAAAAATAATTATGCCACTTTGTTTGAATAAAAAGAATAATAATTAATAAAAATTTAATATAATAAAAAATAATAATATTTTAATATAAGAATGAACAAATTAATTATTATTTATTAAAATTAAATTAAAGTTATAGGTGACAAAGTTGTTTACATTGTACCTAAATTTAACCGACATCAAAAAAATTCTGATATAATTGGAAATTTAAATAAAAATTTAAAGAAAAATCAAATTTTTTTTACTAAATATAACATCACTACACTTGTAATAGACAAACTATATTGGTAAAACAAAGTGAGTATTAAAAAGAGTGCTTTTTTGTAAAAAAATTATATATATATATTTCCCCGAAAATACATTTCTAAAAGAAAAATTAATATACCTCAGGTAAATATATATATTTTTTTTTCAAACTATTTTACTAAGGGTGTATTTGTTTGGGGATTTTCCCCAAACTTTACTATTAATTCAATTTTTTTTTTCAAAAAAACATCAAATTAAATACTTATTTTTTATTTTTTATATTATACTAAAAATTAATTTTATATACAAAACATGACATCAACCCACTTGTACATTCAAATTTTTTACTATTCAAATCACAATCCAAAATCCAAACCCCGAAAAATATGTTTGGATTTTAAATACACTATTCATCCCATTTTTTCTCTCTCCAAAAATATCAAATCAAACACTTATTTTTCATTTTTTATATTATACTAAAAATCAATTTTACATTCAAAACATCACATATATCACATCATACGACTATTCAAATTCAAAATTTTTACTATCCAAACCCCAAAACAAACACGTCCTAAATAAAGACACCCTTATTTCTTCAAATAAAAGACATCCAAAACAATTTCTTATTAAAAAGTCATCACATATACTTTGTCTATTTTGCATTCTAAAAATCTCAAATTCAAAATGCGCCAAACAAAACCCCATAGGGTTAATGAACTCAATTCATCTGTACAATTCCCTCAACCCTACAAAAATTACACAAACTACAGACTATATGCTAAAAGTCGACAAAGAATTCCATATGTGTGTTTATATATAAACCTTCGAAGTCTTATTTGTTGCTTTGCGCTAACTATTCGCAAATGAGATACAACACAAATCGATGAAAAAAAAAAAAAAGAAAGAAAGAAAATCTTACCTATTGAGATCAACTTCCGTTCTCGAGGGTAGCATGGAATGTTCGGATGTAAAAATACAATCTCCATAGAGTACGATCGTTCTATACAAAATGGCGACACAAATTTATAGTTAGGTATGCGAAAAGTAGCTTTGGATATATAACTTGTATATGAAAAGGATATGCATATATATATATATATATGTTTTACCAGGTCATCGAGGTTGACGTACACCTCATTGTCGTCACATGAGGATTTTCTCGGAGGAGTATTCTTTTCTATGATGTCGACAATTCCATCTAAATGGGAGGGAGGCAAGCCTTGAATCATTTTACGAAGATGCTGCTTCTCGGTAATAGTCATTGGCCTGTTGAAGAAATTTGAAGATGTTAAAACTAGGCGTTGCGTTTAGGTAATTTTTAATCGACTCTTGGCACTAAAAATAAAAATATTTTGGATGAGTCCGTGTTTTCAAATTTGATTTCGTACCATTTATATCCCTTCCTCCTCCGCTAGCCCCACCCCCAAATACTTTTTTATGATGCTATTTTCAATTAATATTACCAAAAGAATATAATATATACACAAATACCCACAAAATATATAATATATATTTTACTCATTTACAAAAAATTAACAATTCATCGTAAAATATTATTTTTTTATTACCAATACAAATTACAATTTTTCATACCTAATGTACAAAAATTAAAAAAAAAAAAAATTCATCCAAATGCATAAGTAAACATACTCCAAATTCTGACCAATTTTCCACCCAGCTAAAATCAACATTCAGACTTCCCGATTAATATTAAAAAAAAAAAGAAAAAACACAATATATATAATATCCCTCCGTCCAGAAAATTTAATTCTATTTCCTTGTATTTTTACAAAGGAATGTAGCTAAATTTACCATACAAGGAGTATTATAGAACACCCTAAATTAAAAAAAGGTAAAAAATCTTCATTTACAAAATGAGCAATACTCAACTAAACACATTAGAAGTATGTTGCGAGAATAAAATACCTGCAAGTGGTCATCGTAACATTTAGAAGATCTTCAAGCTTTTGCTCCATGTGATCTAACTGCCCATTATATAATTACTTAAGGGTTCATACGAAGATGATCAATTTCAAAACAATCAATTTGTGAACAAAGAATCAAGGTTCTTTGTACAGCGATATACCGTATCAGAAAGTTCACCAGAATGCTTCTTTAACAGTTCCTCAACCTTACTCGAATCATTATTTAAAATAATCCTCAAGTCATCATCAATCTGAAAAGGAGACGAGCAACTTCACTAAGTAAGATTATCATATAAAACACCAAGGCTTCATTCATCCAAACAATTTTTTTGCTGACACGATCTTCAATATATAATATATACTCCATTATCTCACAAAAAATTAAAATTCAATACAAAATATTACTTCTTGTATTAGCGACGCGATTCTTTCATTTCTCACACACATATATATAGAAATTTAAACTAAAATACTAAACAAACACACTCCACATTAATGCATATAATTTCACGATATATAGATACATATATATATATAGAGAGAGAGAAGGAAAAAAAAAACGATATATAGATACATATATATATAGAGAGAGAGAGAGAGAAGGGAAAAAAAAAAAAAAAAACAGTGACAAGCCTGTTAGTGCTACCTCTGCATTTTCTTTCATGGCTTCAACATTAGCAATAGTCGTTGATCCACTGTTGGGATTCTTTCCAAGACCATAGGCGGCATTGCAATTGAGACAGGAAAATAAGAAATTTAGAGAATATTGGAATTAGGATTCAATTCATCAAACTTGTATAAAAATGACAAATAGTAACTATGAAATAATATGAATTTACGAAACGTATCAGCTATTTTTGTTGGAATAGGAGTGTTCAGAAATCATAAAGTATACACATATTGTTCGAATCAGATTAAAGACCATTCTGTTGAAGCAAGAATTAAACTAATTTCTTCCTAGATTGAAAGTCAAAGCATCCTAAGCGTACACAATAAAACCAGAACGAGAGAACACAAGTTTTCTCTCCTTAGATTATGAACCACAAGTGACTGCAAAAATGACTCATGATGGAAGCAAGGAACATTCTTTTGCGGCTTACTAACAGATTCGGGTCCATGACCATGGGTTCCAATGCAAGAGATCACTACGTCAATAGACATAGCTTTGCTTGAGCATTTTGACCAAGAATTTTACTATTCATACAATTTTCTCCTTTAAAAAACACCGAATCAAATACGTATTTTTATTTTTTTTATATTATACTAAAAATTAATTTTAGTGTTAAAATATTATATCAATATCTATTTCTATCACATCAAACAACTATTTTAATTCAAAACCAACTTCCAAATTCACAAACAAACACAACCGCGACAAAAAAATAAATAATAAATAAAAACTATGACAGGAAGATACTGCCGTCCATATGATCATTAATATATTGAAGATAAATACTCTCAAGGCCTACAATTGGTAAAAAATGACAATAATTAATTTTTCCATGTGAGTGTAGTACAGAAGGTAGTTAGGCCAATGCTCACCGAAATCACAGGCGATGCTTTGTGTTTCTTCTGGGGATGTTGTGATTGGTCATTTTGGCAAGCTGATGTATTTGAGCTTAAAAGGCTTTCTTTGTATCTCAAACATAAGCGTATCCGACAAACAGAAAAAACTGGATTTGCCATCTGAAATATGGAAATATATATATATATATATCAAAACAAATAAATCATGGATCGATGCAAGAGAAAGAGCTAATTACAAATCAAAAGGCTAACTTATTTACCAAGTCGAGAATGTGTGGTTCTCGGGCTTGGGTTTGGATTTTGAATATTAAAATTTTGAATTGGAATAGTAGTTTGATATGATATAAATGCGTTGGTGTGTTGTTTTAAATGTAAAATTAATTTTAAATATAATATATATAATAAATGAAAAATAGGTATTTTATTTGATATTTTTTTGTGCCCGGGACACCCATTCCTCATGATTACCTCATTGATCTCCTCGGTAAGACTGAAAACACTCTGTCGAAGAAGTGTTTTCAATCTTTCCTTTTTAAATTCAGAAAGCTGAGCGCCTAGTCCATGAGAAAATGAGGAAGCAGGGTTGATGATGCCGTTATTTCCGTTGGCTTTGTAACTAGAGAAAGGTGGAAGATGTTCATCTTGGGACAACAATTCAGCTGCTTCACGTGCATAATAGCCAAACAAGTCCGGTCCTAATTTATTGCTGTCTTCAGTAGCAGTCTGATCTCCAGAATTGAATGACATAACAATTCTGCAGAAAAACGAACCGGGTTATTTGGAAAGGTGTAAGAAAGCAGAGAGAAACTTGATCTGCGACAAAATTTTCGCTCAAAAAGGTAAACTACCAAGTATAGAAAACACCAAAAGTGGCGCATCATCCAACGACTTAGGGTAATTAAGAACATCACATCCAATATCTAATTTTCATTTAAAACATACAATGCAAAACTTATTTTCATTTCAACTCCAAAACACAAAGAATATGTTTTCGGTGACGTGAAAATTCAACAATTGTAACATAGAGCTGGAGTGGGAAGGTCCATGTTTAAACTTCAAGATTGTTTCAATTTTATAGGTGTGCTTAATTGTAATTTTTTTTGTTTTTTATCATTATTTTTTATTTTGATGTTTTTGAAATAAAATAGTTGTTAAAATATGATGTTCTGAATAAATTATATGATGGTTTTTCAGGAAAATTTGTATATTTGTTTTTTTTTTCTCTTCCTATTTCTTATAAACTTCTATTCCATCCATCATCCGACTTTTCATCCATTTCTTTATAATATAGGAATATAATATATTATTTTCTATAGATGTTTAACATATTGAATAAATAAATATTCTTAACATAAATTAATTATCCTTCCGTCAGGTAAATTTACCTCTTTGGGGCCGGCACAGAAACTAGAAAACTAAATATTACTTGAACAAGAAATTATAAAGATGAGGGTATATATGAAATTTATAGAGAATAAATAGAGACAATGAAAATAATATATAATAATAATAATTTTTTTGTCTTTGCCAAAATTAGTAACAGATATATTTAATGGACAAACTTAAAAGGAGAATGAAAATAAGTTAACTAATGAAAAGAGTATAAAAACTAAGTGGTACAAATAAAATAATGTGACTTTGTTCTTTTGTGATCTCAAGCTCACACTGCACCGTTTTCAATAAAAATATATTATTTTTTATCGCAAAACATTACATTAAAATACTATTTAAACAAAAATTCAAATAGCATCTTATTTCAAATCAATTTTAAGCCAAAACGAAACAAACCCTGTATTAGCATCAAATTCACCATTGTTGAAAACAAAAATCATTTCAGAAAAATACATATCAAGCATTCTTATGCAAAGATAAAAGAAGCAAACAACGCTGTTGCCAACCATTTGAGCAATAGAGTATAAGGCGGTGAGTCAATAAATCAAAAATAACTTTCAAGGTGACCAAAAGCGAACTACTTCCATTAGTGACATAATAACACCTCATGTACATCATTAATTTGGGTTACTTCCATTAGCAACACAAGAACACTATGGTTCATAGGCATCGCAAGTTTTCTAGTCAACAATGTTATGACAAAGCCTAAATATGATGAGTAAATGCAAACCTATTTATTCTAAATGTGTTTGGTTTATATTTAGAGGGAAGTTTGGTATCTTTTGGTTTTAATTTTAGGTACAAGACTTATTCTCGCAGCTGGTTATTAGATGGGTAATCCACATTCTATGCACTATCTTTTATTCTACATTTCATCTTCTTTCATCTATATTCCGAATTCATTGGTTAAAATATCGTATCAATAACCATTTATATCACATCAAACTCTATTTCAATTCAAAATTTTACTACTCAAAACATAAAATCCAACTCCACAACCTACAACCGAACACACCTTTAGGGTCAATTTGTTTGTAGATTTTGGTCTAGAGTCTTCCTCTCATCAATCAATTTTTTCTCTCTCAATACATCAAATCAATAGTATTTTTTTTAAATTTAAAATATATCATACAACTATCAATACATATTTATATCACATCAAACAATTATTTCAAATTTAAAATTTTACTATTCAAAACATAAAATCAAACTCCAACACCCATAACTAAACACACCCTTAAGGTCGGTTTGTTTGTAGATTTTGGTATGGAGTATTATCAATCAATTTTTTCTCTCTGGATACTATCGAATCATTCATACACCAATATTTATAACTTCAAGCTTTTACTATTCTCAAGATCAAACACAAAAGGGTGTGTTTGTTTGTGGGTTGTTGGTAGATTTATTATTCCAAAAAAATTTCTACTCAAAACCATCAAATTAAATATTTATTTTTTATTTATTATATTACACTACAAATTTATTCCATTTAAAATATTACATTAATATATTATACCACACCAAACAAGTATTTAAATTCAAAATTTTACTATTTAAAATCCAAATTCAAGCCTAAAACCACACCAACATCAAATCAAACACCTATTTTATATTTATTATATTAAACTAAAATTTAATTTTAATGTCAAAACATTACATATATCAAATAACTATTTAAATTCACACTTTACTATTAAAAACCCAAACCAAAACAAAAACCACACAAACGTCAAATCAAACAACTGTCTCTTAGATTCATCACAACTTTTTTCCATTAAAGAAACAATAACAAAAAATCAAATCAAATCAAAATCTCAAACAAACAATCACACCATGAGTTACGGATTGGGATGGGTATACATAAGGTCAAGAAGGTTTGTTTGTTTGTATGATTTTGGTTTGAGTTAGTTGTTTAAACAATATTGAGCTCATATTCTTTGAAACTAAAACCAAACAAACAAAACGAGGCTCGACAATAATGAAATTTTCAATACACTCAAATTGAATCAGTGAAGAAGAAAGAGCTTCTGTTATTAGCCAAATATGCATACCAAAACGATAAACGCAAATTATGTGTACCACAAAAAAAACAGTGACGGTGTTCAGTAGAGGGAAACGAAGCGGCACAGAAAAGCGGCGGCGGAAGCGATGCGGCAAGGCGACGGAGGAGGTGGAGGAAGGCGGTGGAGGAAGATAGCAACGTCGGCGGGCATGGCGGTGGAGAAAGGACCGACGGTTGTGAGATTGAAAGAAAGGGGGAAATAATTGAGGGGAGTTCGGTATGGCGTCGGAATAGTTTTAGGGTTAAATATAGTAGTTTGTTTTATTTTTATTTTTATTTTTATTTTTATTTTGAATTAATTTGAAGTGAAGTATTTGATTTTAATTTTGTACTTTCTATTTAAATAATCTCTCTTATTGAATTTATGCTCTTTGTTTTTTATTAAAAATATTGTGTGTATTTATTTTATAATTTTTATAAATATATTTTTTATATTTAATATAAAAAATATAAATATAACTTTTTATAAATAAATAAATTATATATATTATGTTAATATATGTATATAATATATTTTTTAATAATATTTATTAAAAATTATTATGACTTATCAATTAATTAATAATATCCTTTCATTTCTTAAGTAGCTATTTGTTTATTTTTTTTTAAATAGAGGTTAAAATTTATTAATTTTATATTAATATACAGTAAAAATAAAATAAAATTGAAACTAAAAGAGAATTGAAACTACCAGAAAAATAAATAATTTGTTAAAGATGGAATAATACTATTTTCTAATTTGTACCTTATTTTTTTAAACAAAATTTTTAATTGTATACTCTCCAAAGGATGTGTTTGTTTCAAAGTTTAAATTTTGAATTAATATTTGAATAGTAAAATATTTTAATTAAAATAACTATATAATATGATATAAATAAATATTAATATTTCATCCGTCATCCAAAACTATTCTCATTTTCTATTTCTTATTGTCATCCCCAAATTTATTACTATTTCTTTTTTTTTTAAATAACAAAATATCATATTTTCTATTTTTTCTTTATCCATAAAAGTAAGTTTTTATTTTTACTTCCTTTTTTTAATATTCGTACCCGATCAAATAGGCAGACAACTGAATGACGAAACGAGTATAATATTTTTAATATAAAATTATTTTTTTAATATAATATAAAAAATAAAAAATAAATAAAAATTTTGATATAATATTTTTTAGTAAAACATTTTGTAAACAAACAACCCTAAGTATATTTCTTACTACTTTTGTCCTCAACAGCTTACTCATTTGTACTTTCTCAAATATATGTGGCTTTCTTGCTAACTAGTTAGAATCATCCTCCAAATTTGGACGGGACCAAAATTATAGTATCGCCTAAAAAGGAATCAAAACAAAAACCAACAATTATTCAGAGACCATATAATTAGAGGCATCAAAATGAGTTGAGCCCGTCGAATTGGCCCGTCCCACCTTACTCTTAAGGAGGGTTGGGTTGTAATTTTTTTAATCCGTTAAAATGCAGGCCTAAATGGGCCAACCCGCATGAGCCGCGGGATGAAAGTGGATTAGCCCGCGGGTCAAGCAAATATAATACTGAGTTGTCTTATTTTTTCATTTTAGTCTGTCCAAAAACAATTGTCTTTTCCTTATTTAGTACCAGTAGTCCACAGACAGAGAGAGTAATTAGTACTCACTCGTCTAACTAAATGTATTTTTATACCATTTTTTACTGTTATATTAAAAAATTATAATAAAACTAATCAAATATTAATATAAGAATATATTTTAATTTTTTATAAATTACAAACATACCATTATAAATAAGTTAAGACGAATAAAATAAAATTTATATTATCATTAGCTTAAATAAATTATCAATATTGTCTACAAATTGTTTTTCTTCTTTAACTATTCATGACATTATTATTTGTTCCGATTTTTTATCATTTGTTTTGTTCGTCTTCTATTTTATTATTTTTTAATTTTACAAATTTATAAAATTAATTATAATTTATTTTTAAAATAAAGTATTTCTTATTATTATTTTTTTAAAATACACCAATTAATAATATTTAAAATTGAGAATTTTTATATTTGTTATTTGTTTTAAAATATTTATTATTTAAATTCTACAATAAAACTATTTTTTTTAGCTATTTTTAAATATTAATTACGAAAATATTATAATATTAATATTCTTTTAATATTTTTAAAAAGTCCGGGGGCTAGCCCGCCACCAGCCGGTGAGTTGGGTTGGACGGATGAAATTTTGATCCGCCCCGCAGCAAGTTGGCCCGCAAACAACCCGCTTATTTGCGAGTTACGGTGAGTTGTGGGCCAATCCGCCCACTAATCCGTTTCGACAGATCTATACTACATCCGTCCGACACTAATAATCATATTTATCAAAATATAGTATAAATTAAAAAAAAAATTATAAAAATACTTCAATTAGTATCTTATAATACAGTAGAAAAACATTTGTACCAAAAATTATACAAATATAAAAATATTTTTGATGTTAAATACAATGACTCAAAAAGTAAATATAACTCTTAGTAAGGGTGTGCATTCCGTCGATTCAAACCGAACCGAACTTTCAATTTTATTCGGCTTTCAGTTTATAAAAATTGAAACCGAAATCAAACCAAAATTTTTCAAAACCAAATAACCGAACAAAACTAGTTCGGTTCGATTTAAAACCGAAGAAATCGAACTTTTATTTATTAATATATTTTAATATACAATCAAATACAAATACTCAAAAATATAATATATATTATTTATTAATATATAATTTTTTATTATTTTTAAAAATTCAATTTTTTCGATTAACCAAAATTAAAAATTAAAAATCATAATCAAACCAAAACCGAAATTTATGAACAATCCAAACTGAACAAAAAAAAAATCAATTTTTTCGATTTGAACCGGCCAATGCTCACCCTTAATCCTTAGAGGAGGACGGAAAGAGTAATACCGAGGGACACCAAAAAAAAAAAAAAGAAAAAAAAAAATAGAAGTCTTCTCCATACCCTTCCAAGGAACAATAACACCATAATGTTCATAAAGGACAGCAAGAATAATAACAAGAATAATCTCTTAAAATAGACCATACGATAACATCATCTACTAAAGCCACCCATAATTGCGAATGAAAATTAGATTGACCTGTTGAGCGATCGATAGAAGAGATGTACGCAAGGTCTAGCGTTACAAGATTGCGCCGCGGCCATTTACAGCCAGCCATGTCTTCTTTTTTTTTTTCTAAGAGAGGATGGCGATGACGTCCGAAGCCCGTAGTGTTATGTATTCTGTACCGTCAGCGCCCTTGAAGTCGTTGCCTGCGTATTTCGAGTACAAAACCGTGTTTCCTGCCGCAACTGATAGTGGCTTTCTGTTGCCCTCCTCGTCTAGCTGGCCCGGCCCGACTGCAATCACCTGTATAGATTCATCCCGAGCAAATATTAGCATACATCGTGCTTAAATCAATCTTTTTAAAAATTAATACTCCCTCCGTCCATGAAATGGACGTTATTTTTCATTTATGTCCGTCCCAAAACATAGATGTCATTAACTGATATAATAAATATTCTTATAACTAGACAAATACTTTTATATTACACAATGCTAATAAGAATATTTTTGTTTTTCTACTACAAACTAATATAATACTGATATTAATAAATTTACGTGCAAAAGAAAAAAATGACTCTTCTTCCGCGAAGGAATATAATAGTCCCTTAGTCCAATTTTTTTTGTCCTAAAATATTTTTGCATGGTTTTTTTAAGTAAATGCTTTTTGGTTACGAATTGATAAATTTACCCTTTGTTGATAGATATTAAAAATGATAAATATATTGCTTTTTGGTTACAAATTGATAAATTTACCCTTTGTTAGTAGATATTAAAAATGATAAATAAATGAAGAGTAAAAAAGTAAATTTTGTGTACAAAAAATGAAATAAGACCATAGTTGTTAACGTTCCAAATAGGAAAGTAAGACATTAACTTGTGGATGGAGGGAATATTATTGTGACCTATTACATATATTTTACAAAATTATGGGTGTGTTTACTTGTCAAACTTTAATTATGATTTTACTATTCCAATATGTTTTTTCCTAAAAAAAATCAAATGAAACACCTATTTTTCATTTATTATATTTCACTAAAATTTATTTTTTTATTCAAAACATCACATCAATACATATTTATATCACATCAAACAACTATTTCAATTCAAAATTTTACTATTCAAAACCAAAACCCAAAATCAAAATCTCACAAATAAACACACCCATATATGTAACTTACAGTTCCGATTGAAGGCTTCTCCTTGCTTGCGTCTGTCAGGTACAAACCACCGGCTGTTTTCTCTTCAACCTCAGCAACCTGAGATATAATAGTAGTTCACCAGATATTCACACCAAACAGCACTAGACTAGAAGATGTATTATGAATGATCGAAAATTTCAGATATTCAAAAGCCACACAGGTACAAAATGTATTGCTTTCAAATACTCAAATTCTACAACATAGCGTCATTAGCTTTTAGGCCACACTTGGTAACAGAGACTTAGGCTAAAGGGATTTAATATTCGTCATTAAATCCATACGATTGTCAATTTGGAGCTTTTTACTATTCATAAATTTTTTTCTTTAAAAAGAATCAAATCAGATAGTTATTTTTCATTTTTTATATTATACTAAAATTTAATTTTATATGCAAAGCATCACATGATATCAATACTTATTTATATCACATCAAACAACTATTCAAAACCCAAACACATAACCAACCTTAATGAGAACTCTGTCATTCAGGGGCTTCAAATCTTTCACGTCGTCAGTATCAAGAATACCTATAACATCGTCCTCCTTCAGAATAAGATGATTTGCGCCATTGAATTCGACTTCTGTCCCTGCATACTTCGAGTATACAACTTGGGCACCAGTCTATAGACACAAACACCCCCCCCCCCCCAAACAAAAGTCAACTTGCTGCCATTTAAATAAAAACAGGAAATGGAAATGCCGTGAATTGTGACAATACCTTAACAGAAATGTCCACTTTGTTCTTTCCAACCGTGCGACCCTCGCCAACAGCAACAACCTCACCCCCTTGTGGTTTTGATTGTGCGGTTACTGGTAGTAAGATACCGCCAGATGTCTTTTCCTCTGCTGTCTTAATCTTGACCAACACTCTATCAGCTAACGGCTTGAGAGTTGTGTACTGAAGATAAGAAATTACATGAGATGAACAATTGCTAAAACT